TTAGATAAAATTTGGACTCCTTCTAACTAACAGTTTCAACTTCCACTCTACTCTGGCAGCTGGCTTCCTTCTCTCTCCAATCTCAATGTTCACATAATTAATTCATTGTTGAACACAGGGATGTTTCACTGCTTCTTGAATTTAGATTCCTTAAGGAGTAAATTTTGAAATGACATTATAAGAAATTTTGATGTATTGCAATTCTCTTACATATTTAATAAATAATTAAGTTATTGTGGGCTTTGTAAAAAAATATATAGGCTATGGAATGAATATTATTAATGAATAATTGAACAGATTAATGAAATTATATAAATTAGGAAAATGAATACTAGGCCAGCCTTTCTGAGGAGTGATTAATAACAAAGGTGTATGAACAGAAGTTAACATTTTAAGAAACTTAATACTAAATCTATATCTATAAAAGAGGAACTATGTATGTGTGTGTGTATATGTATACGTTATGGACTCCAAAACCGCCCGACAGATTGTAATAAAACTTTCAGGCATTATAAGCATCTTTCAAGGATGGTTCGAGTGAAGTTTGGTGCAGATCTGTCAAAAGGGCTCTGCCCCAGAGGGTTTTAAGTGGGCCAATGTCAGACTTTTTGATCTACAATGTTTACAAATATAATTTAAAAGCAGATGTTTACTTTCACCAACTGTTTTGTAGTTTTAATAATTACAACATTCTGTATTAGCATTAGTCATGATTTGAAATAGTGCCACAGTGTTTCTACAGAGTGCAGCACAGAAAACTATTTTACTTTTGAATAAGTCCAAATGTATTAAACCCTAAACGCAGCACACCTGTGCACTTAACAACGTTTAAATTCTCCAATGTTAAATATTAAAACATAAAAAATCATAATAAAATCCTTTATCAAAGTATTATAAACAATAAAAGAGGGATGACTTTTTAAAATTTATGAAAACAGCTAATTTGCAACCAAAATGTGAGTGAGCGTAGCGAACGAACATCAACCTGGAGGCGAGTTAGCGTAGCGAACGAGCTAACCTGAAAACAAATGAGCGCAGCGAACAGGCCCGCAGAGAGAAATCTCGGGCCCCTGGGCAATCGTTGCCGCGGGCCCACTCCACTCCCCCATCCTACATCCCAACTACATTTTAGACCAGGCCCGGCCCGGGCCCGGGCCCCTGGGCAATGCCCCCGCTGGCCCCCCCCTCTCGGCGGGCCTGGGCGAACGAGCTCCAAGCTAAAGGTGAGTGAGCGTAGCGAACGAACTTCAACCGGGACGTGATTGAGCCATGCGAATACTTATGAAGTTAAACGGGACAAAGCCCGTGGGTACAGCTAGTAATGAATGAAATGAAATATTAATACCATATCAGCAGCGAAACTCAGCGTTGCTCGGGCCAACATAGTATTCACAATAATATGGTATTAATTGAGTAATACAACATTATCTTGAACTTAACCGATTCGAATGGTCAACATCTCAAATGAAAGCCTTTGTTTTGAGGGGTAGTCATATTTTAAGACTAAGACATGTAGAATAACTTCAAATGGAGTTACGGATCATTGATTATGCAGATAAGTGTTAAAATAATAATTATTATTGTTGATTCGTGATTCAGTAGTGTGCTTCACGTACGTCCGATCATAATAATTAATAGCTCAAAATTAAAGCTGGCATTTTACTGAATGTTCTTAGACCAAAACATATAGGCTAATGTAATCAGAACTGGCGAAATACGGCTTTAATTGAAGTAAGGATTAAAAAAAATATCGGATTTATTTTTTTTGGTCGAGTAATACAGTAGATTCATGAATGATGATGCTTGTTGGCAAATCTGTTCGTGAATACTTTTAATTTAAGACCAAAATTATGAAAATCGGTCAGGTAGAAGAGCCGAACCGACTCGGAAAAGAAACCCAATATTTATTAATATACAGAGAGTATAATTAATATAATAAAATGTTGAAACAAAAATCAGGACTGAGGCGAGGGCAGAGAGTAGGGGTCCGCTGTGGCTCGCGACTGTGGCTGCGCGTAATAACATTGACTATATTTGTTATATCGCAGAGGATACGCGTCCGGTAACCGTACGTCGATTAGGCGTACGGTAATGGCGTCACCGGTTTGTGGAGGCGAAGCATGACGTCACTAGGTTCCGGACGCTTGTTGGACGTACGGTAACTGGCGCGACGTGCCGGACGCTTGTTAGACGTACGGTAACGGCGTTGTCGGTGACTTGTGTATGGCGACACCATTGTCGGAGACTTGACTGTCAGTCCTTACCGATAGCGCTTAAATCATGGATGAACCGGAGACAAGTCAAAGTTTAATCACAAAATTCGAGTCGTTTACTGAGTTAGAGGAGTATATTGTTCAAAAAGAAAAATCTGATTTTGTTCAGTTCTTTATAAAAGATTCCAGAACAATTGAAGCAGCGGCCAAGAGGGGAGTCAAAAGACCCATCAGAGAGAATTTAAAGTATTATGAAGTTTCATATAGATGCATCCACGGTGGTGTTAGAAAAAGTAAATCCACTGGTGCGAGACCTAATCACAGGTAAGAGTTGTATCTGGCAATGTAGGCCTAAGTTAGTTGTAAAATTAAACAGAATAGTTGTAGGTTTATGTAGGTAGATAGGCCTATAATTTTAGGGGTTAGGATAGCTGCCAGAAGTCCTCTCTAGTTGAATAAAATAGCTATAACTTATTTCTTCAAAGATCAAGTTCAATAGAGTACTTGTTTTCAATAATTAATCTCTTCAGACCTCAAGTGTGATACCATTGGACTAAGTTAGATAGCCTAGATGGGTCTAGACCTATGCCTTATCAGTTAGGCCTATCTCAATCAGTTCAGTGGCCCCACATAGCACAGACTATCCTCAGGATATCCCACAGAGTTCCCAAAACGTCCCAATATCCCATGAGATATAGGATTATCCCTGGGACATTCCTGGGGTATTCCTGTTCAGGAGTGATTTTAAGGCTGTCCCCAGCCCAGTACAGTATTCCAACTCCAGATATAACAAGCGTTAATGTTTTTTATTCAATAGGTGGGCTCTATAAATAAAAGATATTTTATAGTTTCAGTTCATTAATGTAATCATTATATTTTGTTTTTAGCACATTTAGAAAGGAATGCCCATTTGTACTACGCCTCAGAGCATCACAGGACGGACAAAGTCTGGAAGTTATTACATTGGTTGATGATCACAATCATCCGAGAAATGAGGTATATTGAACATCCTGTGGCATAAAATTCACCTTATATCTTCCCAACTATAGTTTTTTTTTTGCAGTGGCTATTCGCACGTCAGACGTGCGCCGCTACCACGCACGTCTGCTCCAAATGACGTTACATTACGTTCCTAATCTAGTAACTGTTATAGCTGTTTGGGAACAGGTTGGACGCAAATATATCCTAGTATTAGGAACGGTAACGGTAATACCTCATATTAGCCGAAATCGAAATGGATGGGATAAACTTCGTAAAGAGAAAGGTAAAAGAGTTGAACAGAGCTAAAGAGGTTATAAGCAGTCGAAAATATAGGTGCTGGCCGATAATAAAATGTGTATTAGAAATACACATTAGAAGATTCAATACCGTATAGGAATCGTAAATAACTTAAACCTAGGCCAGGCTTGATGTTAGCCTACTTTACCTTTACCATATCAAAGGCTAGGCCTATAAAAGGTATGGCCTAATATTGGTAGGCCTATGTTGGCCTAGATAGCCCAGAAGTAGGCTAGGCATTAGGATAAAATTAGTCAATCACCAGGCTGTCATCGGCTTAAAGCTTAACATTTTACAGTGTTAGATGTAAGAGCTTACAAGTAAAATCTTAATTGGCCTACTTAAAATCTTATTATTTTTGATTTGGCCGCTTTCCCAAGCTTTTTCTTTCTTTCTTGTACCACTGTGTAGTATGCATCTGTAAGTCAACTAATAATATTTCAAATTATCATTTGCGTTTTTTTTTTTTTTTTTACTTGTAACACCTTTCTTTCTGGCTCCATCGATTGTTCTTGAACTTTTTCAATTCAAGGCTTCTTAAGGGGAGAAGTACGCCCGAAAATAAAAAAAAAAAAAAAATTTTTTTATTTAATATTTGTATAGTTTATTTTATTCTGATTGCAATGGTATGTAATACATGCCTATTTTGAGTTAATAAAATATAAAAAATAAATTTTGAAAAAATTTCCACACGGCTACTTAGCAACCAAACACAACTTACTTTCATACATTATGCTCCTGTTTATCTTAGCTAATTTTATTGATTTTGATAAGTTGTGTTGGCTAACCTGGCTCCTGGTTTGTTTTTCTCTTAGTCTGTATTGTCGTCTGATCCATATGTTTATGTTTGTGTTGAGGTTCAGCATTGTTTACAAATTTTATAGCAAAGGTTATGTTTTGTGCTGAGTGTAAAAGTGATGTTACAAAATGACAAAAACTAAAAAGTTGTGGAAGAAAAGAAGCTTTCGAGGTAACCAGTATGCAAAGGTAAATAGTTGTGTGCAAAATGAAGGAAATAGGCCTACGCCTGTAACTGAAAACAGTCAAAGTTTGGATCCTGAAAATCAAAGACTAAATGATTCTGTGCCTAGCATTGAAAGTAGGCCTACTCCTCCATCTGCTTCATCGAAAAAGATTGGGACAGTGCCAGATACATTTGATAGTTTTAGTGTTAGTAACAACAATATAATACTAAGTATTAACATCTTATCTCAGGCTTTGTTATGTGCCACTGCTTGTAAGCAATGTAAATCTGAGAGCTCGCTAACTTTGACAGAAGAGGAAAGTTCACGACAAGGACTAGCTTGTAAACTAGTAATTGAATGTAAGAAATGTTTTCACTCTTTTCCTTTTTGGACATCACACAAAACAGACAATTTTTTTGATGTAAACTTAAAGTGTGTTTATGGGTTGAGGGCAATAGGTAAGGGTTCGGTTTCAAGTAGGCCTCTTTTTGCTTTACTCGACTTGCCTAAACCTCCAATTAGGTTTGAAAGGTACAACAGTCTTATGGTAGAATCTGTGAGAACTGTTGCTCACAATTCAATGATCAAGGCCATAGAAGAAGCCGTAGAAAAGAATGTTAGTGATGATGGTACCACTACCAGAGATATCAGTGTAGGCATCGATGGTACATGGCAACGGCGAGGTTTTGCTTCGCTCAATGGTATAGTATCAGTTTCAAGTTTCGACACGAGTAAAATCCTCGATGTGGAAATCCTTACAAAATATTGTCACACATGCAGTACATCTAAATCAAATAAACAAAAAAAAGGCCACCACTTTTGTGAGAAGAACTTTGAAGGCAGTAGTGGTTCGATGGAGGTTGCCGGAGCCAAGAGTGTATTTTCGCGTTCTGTGGCCACAAGAAATGTCAGGTACAAATACTACCTAGGGGACGGAGACTGTAAGGGGTTTTCCACTGTTGTTGAATCCCAACCATATGGGCCTACTTTTAATATTGAAAAATTAGAATGTGTAGGCCACGTTCAGAAACGAATGGGTGGGCGTCTTCGAAAGTTGCGAAGAGACTTGAAAGGACAAAAGTTGAGTGATGGACTGAAGATAGGGGGGAAAAAAGGTAGGCTCACAGACAGTGTCATAGACTCTTTACAAAATTATTATGGCTTAGCTATTAGGCGCAACAAAAATAATTTGGAAAAAATGAAAAGCGACGTTTTGGGAATCCTCTTCCATAAAGCTTCCACAGACGACACCCCACAACATCAACATTGCGACGAAGCATGGTGCAAGTACAAACAAGCTATAAAAGAAAATAAAACATACAAGCACAATAACTCACTAGACAAGGTTATAATCGACCAAATAAAACCTATATTCGAGGATCTGGCGAAAACTGAGTTGTTAGAGAAATGTCTGCATGGCCGAACACAAAACATCAACGAAAGTTTTAACTCTGTTGTGTGGTCCAGGATTCCCAAAAATAATTTTGTTGGAAGACAAACTCTGAGATTTGGCACATTTGACTCTGTTATTACTTTTAATGAAGGAAACAGGGGACGATTAGAGGTTTTGAAAGAGCTTGGGGTCAAAGTTGGAAGAAATTGTGCGAGATTTCTTAGTGACATCGACCGATACCGGATGATGAAATCAGAAATTTCATGTGATGAGAAGACAAAGCAAGCCAGGAAAAGAACCAGGATGATTAGGAAGAAGCTCTGGGATGCTGACAAAGAAAAGGAGCAGGATTATGCAGCTGGAATGTTTTAAAATGTAAGTTAATTATTATTTTCTGCGTTTTTTGCGATTTCTCAAAAATTCACTTTTTTAGCATTAAAGTCCCATTATCTCAGGAAGAAGTAAGTCAAATTATTTCAAAATTTTACCATATACTTAGCAGGTCTAAATGCACACTCCCTACCTGTTTTAGGCTTCTAGCTCAAAAACAAAAAAATATAGAAAATATTTTAATAAAATTAAAAGTCAACTTTTTTTTTATTTAAAAAAAAATTCAAAAAATACCAACGGATATAAGAAATCGAATAAAAATGCTAGGGTGTCTTTAGTATAATATATATATACTAGGAAAAAAATTTCAGTTTCATATGTCTTACACTTTTTGAGATAATGGGTCACATACATGTATATGTTTAACATTGCGGGTATAGGCGGCGTACATCTCCCCTTAAAACCTCAGAGTCATTACTCTGAGTTAAAACTTAGAAGTACAGTAACTGAAACTGATAACGTTCTGAAAGTTCCCGTTGCATTATTTTGTAATTCTGGAACTGTAACAAAGTAACAGAAAACTGGAACGGGAACGGGCTGTGGGGCATTTTGACGTGCGAATAGTCACTTCGTTTTTCTTTGTCCTAGGACGCTAGGCACGTGCCCGGGGTTGTTTTACACATTACTTGTTTCAATTTTCAATTCTGAATGTTTTATTTTCAATATTTAAAAAAATTTATGTTCATAAATTAAAAAATAAATAAATAAAGTGTGAATTAATGAGCTGATGTCCCCTGTCTGCCATGCTATGGGACTTCTGTCCCTGAACAACACCACTTGCCATGTTGCCAATTCTACCAGGCCGCGGCCTGTAGTTAAAGGCGGCCGTGGTTTTATTTCACTTTCAGCATATTATGCTACAATAATTGTCATTGGTTAAACTTTTTATTGTTAATTTAACTTTTCATTTTTGTAGGAGGCATTTCGTTTACTACCTCGACAAAGAAAACTAGATGGCCCAACACGAGAAATGGCCAAACATTTATTATCGTTGAGGGTAAATAAAAAGCTGCTGCAATCGGAACTAATGACTAAAAAAGCTCAACGAGTTACTCTAAGGGACTTGCACAACATAAATGCTAGAAATGATGAGGACAACCTCGAAACAGCCCTGCAGTACCTAACAAACAAGGATGATGCCACCATACAGTTAGTCACTGATGAAAATAACATATTCAAAGGCCTTTTCTACCAAGACTCAGAAATGAAAAGGCTGTTTCATGCCTACCCAGAAATGCTATTTGTAGATGCTATCTACAAAGTGTCAAATTTAAGGATACCACTATATATTTTTTGTATTGAAGATAGCAACGGTGAGACAGAGATAGTCGCATTTTTTTTGGCAGCATCAGAAGACAGGGACACATTAAAGAAAATGGTAGAAATATTCAAAGAAAACAATTCTGCATGGCCTAACACTGTGTCAGTCATGACTGACAAAGACTTAGTAGAAAGAACAGCATTTAAGGAGGAATTCCCCAACGCCCAGCTACTGATTTGCTTATTTCACTCGCTACGATCATTTAGACGGGAAACCTCTGTAGAAAAAATGGGGATTACTTCAGGCCAGAGAAGTATATGCCTAGAGCTGGTCCAAAGAATAGCATACGCAAAGAGTAAATCAAATTATATGGAAATATTGGAGGAAATTAGAAAGACAAAGATAACCCCATTCATAGAATATTTTGAGAAAAACTGGCATCCCATAAGAGAGGAATGGGTTCCAGCCTTACAAACGACTATGACGCTCGGAAATCGAACAAATAATCGTTTGGAATCAATCAATTCAAAGGTAGGCCTAGTAAGATAATACTTAACCTTAAGCGAGACTTTAATACCCCCACCACAGCAAACCTGCGAACTAAGCAAATTTACATTTGTCTGAATTGATTTTCAATTAATACTATTAAATAGCATTAGGTTGAACGAGTGCACTTTGATATTATCTGGAGGCCACCATTATACAGTGCTCTGCTTAATTCTCTGAATACATTATCACTATACTATACAATTACATATTTCGATGAGGGCCTACCAGATAGACTTGTAAGTTGATGTTATAGTTATAATGATCCCCACCCCTTACAGATTTAGCCGTTGATTATGTGTCCTAAAAATGAATATGTTAAATGTTCATGTTACAGTTTACAGTTTTCTTTATTCTGATTACTTTGTTTCAGGTTATGCAGGTAGTAGAACGCCACTCCAGGCTACCAGACTTATTCAAAAGCCTAGACTTTTTGTTAGCAAGTCTGAGGACAGAAAGAGATGATAGGGTTGCTAGAATTGAATTGAAGGTGCCTCTTAATGTACAGTTTGTCCACAAGGACCAGGAAAAATACTTTCACTGTCTGACGCCTCATGCATATAGACTTGTCTCAGAAAAATTTAAAATAATGCGTAAGGTGAAGCTAGTTCCCAACCAAGATTCAGCTCAAGAAGAACTGAAGGTGGAAACAAGTTCTGGAATCTTGACTGTATCTACTGAAAAATGTCCTTGCCCATTCAGCACAGCTGTAAGATTGCCATGCCATCATGTTCTGTTCATTAGAAAACTGAAAAATATGGATTTGTTTGCTGAACACCTAGTCCCGGCTCGTTGGACTAAGTTTTATTATGTAAATAACAGTAGGCTGACAGCCGATGTTACCAATGAAGCATCTGTATCAGTGAATGTTATGCCTGTGAGGAAAGTCCTGTCGCAGCATGAAAAGTACAGAATGGTGTCTAATAAATTTAAGGAGATTGCTTCCTTAGCCTCTGAGGTACCTTCAAGGCTTTTTCCCCAACGCCTTCAAGTGCTGGATAGTATAATTCGTTTGTGGGGAGCAAACAAGGAAGTCTTTGTTGGTGAGGTATGTGCATCAAGTAGCACACTTTTGTTTTTCGCAGAGTATACACGTCCAGTAATCAGACGTGGATTAGGCGTCCAGTGACGTCACTGGGTTGTGGGGGCCCGTAACACCATTACCGCAACGATACGCAGTGCAGCCATCAATGTTAGTGGTGTAGTTGATTGAGTAGTAGGCTTATATCTAACAAGTATCCATATCGAATCCCATCGGTGACGAGGACGTGCCAAAGTCCGCGGCCAACAAGGCCTACGACCTTGCGTAAAATAGCGCGGGGTAGATTTACGGCGGTGAACCTAGGTATGACTCCTCGGTGACACTAACTTTTTGTTTAGATTTTGCTTAGAATGCGATTTCTTCTTAATTGTACATAATTTGTTTGAATTTGAGGGATTAATAATTTTATTTTGAATACAATTTTACCGTTATTCGATTTTTTCATTATCAGCAAGTTTGGTTAGATTAGGTTATAGTAACTGCCGGATGCCTAATCCACGTCCGGGTACCAGACGCGTATCATCTGCCGTTATCTTTATACATTCTTATTTCAAAAATTGTAGTTTTATATTTTAAGCCCCTCTCAACCTTTTCATAATCCTAGAGACCCTCAGAGTGTGCATCTGTACATACTTGACCGCTTTACTTAATATTGAAAGGGAAATGTAAATGTATTATTATTCTGTAATTTTTACAGATATTGTCTCAAGAAGACACCACTAAAGAAGTAGAAACAGTAGAAGTAGGTTGGGAAGAACTAGAAATGGAAGAAGTGGAAACGGAAAAAGTGGAAACGGAAGAAGTAGAAACCAAAGAAGTAGAAACCAAAGAAGTAGAAACCAAAGAAGTAGAAACGGTAGAAGTAGGTTGGGAAGAACTAGAAATAGAAGGAGTGGAAACGGAAGAAGTGGAAACGGAAGAAGTGGAAACGGAAGAAGTAGAAACGGTAGAAGTAGAAACAGTAGAAGTAGGATGGGAAGAAGTAGAAACGGAAGAAGTTCAAACCATCACAGTTGTGGAAGAAAATAATACTAGTCCCACCAATCCTGCCAATTATTCTCCCACCAATCTCCCACCAAACCCCACCAATCTTGCTACACTATTTCCTGACAAATTTCCCATCATGCCCCCAAAATTCAAAAAGAGAGGAAGGCCTAAAGGGAGTGATTTAACAGTAATTGGATTGCCTAAAAAAAAACAAAAACAACCAGAACTCTCCCTTTAAAAAAAAAAACCATCTCATAAAAAAGAATTACAAATGTTGATGTGGTTTGTTAAACCTGAGAAGGCGAGGCTTGCTGTGGAGGGGACTCTGCTACAAGAGACTGACATCGAGGCCAATCCTAATAAAGTTTCTTCCAGCTGCGTGGACCCACTAGCGGACGTTCTATGTATTCGGAAATATTTTGATGGTGCTGGTTGGAAATTGATCGAAGATATAATGAGTGTAAAGAAAAAAGACCCAATTTGGCTGTGTCCGCTTTGCAAAAAAGACTCATCCACTAATAGTGTATGTTGTAATAGTTGTCTATCTTGGTACCATATGACCTGTTCTGGTCTTGGTACTACTGGACCCAAATCCAGAAACTGGTTTTGTAGATCGTGCCATAACAGTTAGGTGGTTTAATTGAAGGCTATTAAGTTGTGTTTGCTGTTACCTATATTTTATAATATATGTGTTATTTAAAAAAGGTTCATGCAGGCATGGCGAGAGCCGTCAGGGGCTCCTGGGTTGCATTTTGTTACAAACAATACCTATGTAAAACACCTTTTTGTTTAACTTAAATGCTTGTTAAAATTTTAGTTTGAAATAAATTTTAGATTGATTAATCTACGTGCTCACAGTTGCAACTTTATTCAAGTAAAAAGAAAAAGAATAAGTCAAGACTTGAATTACACAATCCAAAGTCTAAAAATTACTTTAATTAAAAAAAACTATCCTAAAATTTTTGACATTAGTAGATTCCATGTACAGTTAAAATGTTACATTAGACCGGGCCGGGCCCCCTTCGGAGACCTATCATGTCTCGGGACTAGCCCCCCTGCCCCGCCCTCAAGCCGGCCCTGGGTTAATACTAGCCTACATTTAAATAATTGTGTTATTCCTAAACCTTAGAACTATTTGGACTGTTTGAGCCTTAACAGTTGAGTCGTTTGATTGAAGGCTATTAATTTTTGTTGTTGTTACCTATATTGTATAATATATTTGTTTATTAAAAAATGTTCATGATAGCCTACACTGATTAGAACTATTTAGACTGATATTAGACTGGTTGTGCCTTAACAGTTGAGTGGTTTAATTGAAGGCTATTAATTTGTGTTGCTGTTACCTATATTTTATAATATATGTGTTCATTAAAAAAGGTTCATGTTATTAGTCTTGAATGAAATAATTGTGTTACTCCTAAACCTTATAACTAGTTAGACTCTTTTTGCAAATTAGATTATACTGATAAACTTATCTTCAAAGCTTTATTTGTAATCAGAAAGTTATCTTATCACTTCTCTATAGGTACTGCAATCATACCTACTGCCTAGTGCTTGTTGTAATTACAACATAACAAAGCCTAATTTCACACTACTATGAGGTAATTATTTATCTAGGCTAAACGATTCAGATATAAATCAGTGATAAACTACTAATGGATAGGCTTTCAATTTTGTTGTTGTTATAATATTACATGGTCCGAAAACAACGAATTCATGATATTCCTATTTATAATAAATGGTATCAGCATTCTGACACACTTTCTTCAATAAGCTCGGCACCAACCTTTATCATGGGTAAGCGGTGAGAGTAAAATATGACATTTTATAGTTAAAAACCACAAAAGTTACAATTACTAAACCGTAATTGTTACAGCAATGGGTTGTACTATTTTTTTAGAATTATAAGGACCATTACATTAATTTTGATCAAAACCATCTTTTCACCGAAAACCCGATTTTATGTTGTTATTTTGTGTTTGGTACAATAAGTTTTTAACCGTAATTTTTACGGAAATGGGATTTGTACCAATCTGTTCAAAATTCAAAGGACTGTATCATTCGAGTAATTTTTTAGAAACTCCTATTTTTCCGTTATTTCATGAGGTTTTGTGGAAAATTACCCATTAAAAATCAAAATTTAAAAAACGTTCAAAATTTTAAGGGTCATGCATGACATACTAAGTTAAATTGAATCAAAACCGGCTTTTCCCTAAAATCCTATTTTTCGTTATTTTATAGAGATTTTAAGGGAAAATAACATAATTTACAATAACTTTTGAACCGTAATTTTTACAGAAATGGGAGTCATACCATTTTGTTTAAAATTTAAAGGGCTACAACATACTAAATTTTTATCAAAATCGTTCGTGCCACAATTGTTCCGTTATTTTATGGGTTTTTGGGGGTTCACGTCGCGGTAGTTGCCGTACGTCTAACAGGCGTCCGTCACGCCGCGCCAGTTACCGTACGTTTAACAGGTGTCCGTCACGCCGCACCAGTTACCGTACGTTTAACAGGCGTCCGTCACGTCACGCCAGTTACCGTACGTCTAACAAGCTTCCGGAACCTAGTGACGTCATACTTCGCCTCCACAACATGGTGACGCCATTACCGTACGCCTAATCGACGTTCGGTTACCGGACGCGTATCCTCTGCGTTGTTATATAGTCAATGGTAATAAACAGCATATGATAACATGGCCCGCTGGTGGCGCGACAGTCGCGTGAGCTCGCGACTAGTAGCGAGGGTGCGCGACTGGAGTGGCCAACTAAAAAACCTAACTAAAAGGGACCTACAGTTAACTGTGGAATCCGAACCACACTCTTGCCTTGGTTTAGTACATATTTTTAAATGATATTTTAACTATCTCAATTTTAATATCATAGATATGAGATTTTGCATGATAACATCTCAGCGGATGAATTGTGTAACACAACGCCCGCCGTTTAGTGCATGTTTCCTAGACCTATACAAAAATCTTCAATAACAGTACAATAATTACGAGAAAAACTTATGCAATAATTTAAAGCTGGCTGTTTATATAGTACTCATTTACAATAAATTTCAACCTTACAGTTGGTAACCAGCACCACAGGTGTGAGATGTAAATTTTCCCTCTTTAGCGCCAAAACAACAAACTCACAAAAAAAACGCACTGCCAGCCATTGGGATTGGATTGGATTGCATATTGCATTGAACTCTCACTAATTCCCTCCTTTATTGTAAATGCTGTTATTTATTTACTAACACTTATCTAGTATTTTAATAAATAAAGATTTTTATTGGTGTAGTATTGATGTTGTTCAACTTCAAATTGTAAGTAGCATTTAAATAATTAATTATTAGCCGCGTAAATTAGTACGGTAGGTCTTACATTCTCAGCACAGCCTAGGTATCTATGCTAACAATGGCAGGCCTCGACTGCACTGTAAGACCTTTTACACAGAACATTTTAATTATTTCTCACATAACATTTATTACTTATTTATTTTATTTATGGAACAAGACCCAGGCCCAAAAAAAATAGCCTATTGTAATTAAGTGTCCTGAGCTACCTACCTACTTAGCCTAGCCTAGGTTAGGCATAGATTGTAGGCCCAACAATTATAATTTGTTCTGTTTTAGCTAACTTAATTATCTTATGGATGGTTTAAAGTTGAGAACTGTACCCAGCATTCACACAATAGGCAAGGAATTTTAGCATTTCTGGCTAAGAGTTCACGATTTGTGTGTTAAGCCTGTCTAAGGCTTGGTTTGTAAGGTCTAGGCCTAATTAACTTAATTTAGGCTACATACCTATAAGGTAAGATTAACTTGTCATTTGCAGTTAGGGAGGGCCTAGTTACTAAAAAAGAATGTCATTGTGTGAGCCAGTCACAGATTGCAATAGTGCCTTAAATCCATTTTCACCCTTACTTATTATTCCTTGTTACTGACATAAGTTAGTTGATGGGGCATAACACTAAGTTCTGGCTATATAACACAATAAGTTAAATAATTCAGTTTGACTTGGTTAAACAATCCGCATATTGGTCAAAATCAGTAATTTACATCATTGGATCATTGCAGTCTCTCGGTGGCTCACATTAACTACGGTACATCCATTTCTAATAAAAAACCGGCAACAACTTTAACATTGGGATGAAATGTCTAGTTCTATCAAAAGGGTAGTTAAAGACGGTATAGGCCTTGTGGTAGGTAAAACTATAGGCTACTGTCTTAATAGACTACGGGATTATAACAGGATGCGGGATGAAGCGGGATTTTAACACTGCACCTAGCGGTCAAAATCAGAACTAGACTGTGTCACCTAGTGGTCAAAATCAGAACTACACTGAGTCACCTAGCGGTCAAAATCATAGGCTAACTAAATTGTGTCACCTAGCGGTTAAAATCGGATCTACGTCACCTGGTGGTCAAAATCAAAACTACCACCCCCATGACCGGCATCTATTATACCACCTCAGACTTTTAACCTATTAACTGACGTTGTAGCCCAATGTGGCTAACGCTCCCGCTTTACACGCTGTAGGCCTGGCCTAGGTTCAAATTCCGGTTCCTCCCTAGTATTTTATATGATACCTCGATTTCAAGCCCACATGTCTATCTTCACCCGCTTACTACTACCCGCTTATTACTCTTAGTAATAGCCTACAAACTCAGCGTGATGTGTCCACTGGAAAGGTAGGCCTATACATTTCCCTATAGGCTTAGCCTAAGTTAATTAATTGTAAAATCTAAGAATTCATAGTGTAGCCTACATGTATAGGCCTACTACCAGCAAGGTTTACTTTGCCATATATAGGCTACCTAAATATTTCACTCATTCATACAATTGTCTGTGTTTTAGGCTCGGTGAAAGCATAGCGTCATTTCAACAACAAAATGGAGTAAGTATGGCCTAAGTTAATTACCCTAGCTAGTTAGTTAGGAGAGTATTAATCAAAGTTAAAAACCTGCAATCGTCATAAAATATTTTTTCCTACTCGTGTTTTTCCGATTTAAAAACAGGCGTGACTTATTTTTGCTGGGCTCTATGTATAGGCCTAGGTTACGTGCCCTTCTTTGAGATTTGAAAGACAATTTTTAGGTTGTTTTAAGAGATGTGGTCTTTTGGATCTACGTTCAGGTGGCTCCAGATATGTACCATTTTCCAAACACCGAGTAGCAACTCTCCGAAACGTGATTAGTGTGGATAGGACTGGTGTTTGTCTATTTTGCAAGCAGCAAACATTCATGTTCATATTTTCCCGTTCATTGTAGGCAAACATTTTTGTCTGCTATTGCCAAAAAACAATAGTTGCTTGGAAAACAACACGATGTAGACGTCTTCTTGTTTAGCAGCGAATATCAAGACAACTAGATTGCCAAATGTCAAATATTTCGACCTTGCGACTGGTGCATGTCTGGAGCCGTCTTTAAATACACTTCTCATCATGTGTCTCTGCTGGGATATAGAGCATTGCCTAATTGCTATGCATGGGTCAGATACACCCAGGTTTGCCACCTGTCCCGATTCTGTCAGAACAGTCCCGATTTTGGTTCCTTATGCCTGTATTTAAGCCTATTTTAATCCGGAGGAAGGGGGGCCATGTACCGATTTTTCCCTGGCAACCCTGGATACAGCTGAATGCATTATTTAGATACATTATTGCGTTATGGAACTGTAAATGTAGGTATGCAGGTACCCCGAGTTTTCAAGTCTGCAAACCTTACCAATGCTTTTTATATTGTGAATTTTTTGTTTAGAAATATACCATCAGAGATTAGAAATCTACAGGTAGGTATCTCTTCCAGTTTATAAACGTTCGGTAAGCAGTTGGCTGTTGGAGATTGGGCTTGATCAGTCTGAGACACTTATCAGTTCAGTAGGCCTATACAATACCTAACGATACTTAATACACAAGTTCACCAAACAATATTTAGCGTACAGACATCAGTAACTGCAACTCCATTCACTCGACTACTTGTTACTTAGCATTAACTGTTCCTGTAGCTGTCTCATAGCTTAGTTGTAAATAGTATTTTGATTAATTTCGTTTTAATTTTTAGATTGTTTCAAATTTGTAATAGAGCTCGTCCCGCGCACAGGTCTTGTACGGCCTATGCGGGACTATTGTTTCGTAGGCCTATTTTGTATTCATATACTGTGTAAACAATTTTGGAAATAAAAGAGATTTTGATTTGATTTATTCTCTTCCATTTGAATGCTTAACAATTATTGAACTAAGATGTTAATGCTAATGACATCCCCCTTTTTACTTCCAGTCTGTTAAAAGTAGGCAGCCTACAAAACTTTAGGCCTACAGAAGAATACAATTCAGTAAAAGACCTTCTTTTTTTATTAAAGATAAAAAATAGGCTATTTTATCCTTTAATTTTAAAATCACAAAATGAAATTTCAGGATCGATAAATTGAAAAAAGTTATATGTGGAAACAAGAACGTTAGTGCAAATCATTTAAAGCAGTTGAGTGCAAAGTTGACCGAAGAGACGACTAACACTTCAGTCGTGAATGACTTGACTAAGCTGCTACCTGCTGTGCTGAAGTATGCGGTACACCAAGACAAGGCGTTCCGTGAGGCAGCTCTGCCGGCGCTTAATGAGCTTGGCAGCCTACTGGACCTGAACAAACACCTCAAGGAGATGCCTTGGTGGACAGAAACAAAAGATGCTATTTTGACAAGGTAACTTATATTCCTCACCTCGTACCAGTGTTGTTAGCGGTAAGTTTAACTTTACTCGTCTAAAAAACCGTAGCATTTAGAATTAATAAATTATAAATAATAATATAACAGTTCGAACCCCTTGATTACCTTTAGGGTTATGCCAGAGAGTGTGTCTCTTTCACATCAAACTCCAAGACACTAATCAGTAGGCTAGGAAATACAACCGATGTCTTTTTTTATGTTTAGGCCTACACATAGTTCCATTTGGCTTATTCAATGAAAAGATATTATAGAAAGACCAATTAGGGCAGCAATTAGCTTTTTGATGGTATACAAACTAGACGCAACTTGATCATTTTGGCTTAATAAATGGGCGTGCCTAAAAACCAGCTGATCTCAATCAATGAAAAAAGCCTTCATATTATTTATTCAACATTCATTCTTCATTCATCTATGCCTTAAAATAACTAATGAATTCACTGATATAGCCTATATGATTAATATGAATTAAATCTTAATCTAATACATGGTGAATATTTTATATTTCAATATTGTTCACACTAAGTTGTGGTCTTTTGAACGTTTGGATGACAAATGATGCTTAGTGATTTCTAACACAAGTAAAACTATTAGTTCAAGAGTTGCTAACCAAATATAAACTGATTGTTGGTTACTAATGAAATGTGATAGATAGATTGATAGTGTGAATGTCTACAAGAATTTCTCTAAAACAAAGTTAATAATAAATATAAAAAAAATATCTTATCTTCATGGATAGGCTTCCATGGCCACATACTCTAGTCTAGAATTTCGGCCCTCTGATGACGAATGAGTAAAATAAATAAAACATAAACTCATTTATTTAGACACAGTTGTTGCCCAAAGGCCTCAAATCTATTTATGGTTAATAAACCTGGGGAGCAAGCTGCGAAGCTGTGATGTGGTAGGGATCATGACTTTGGTGCATGAGGTTCTCGATCATTCAAATCCTGCCAATCACCAAAGAATATTACCTATGTGATAATGCCATGATCCTCAAGGACTAGTCTGAGGTGATGTGTAAATGGTTCCAGGCTTCCTAGTGTCCTAGGATGTGAAAGTGGCACATAAAAAAATCCACCTAGTATTATGAATCTAAAATAATTATTGCTATTACGATGAAGCAGGATAAGTGGCATAAGGTGTGTATATATTTACAGTGTGGACGTACTGATGAACCTAGTGACCACTGGGGATGACCAATGGGCGGAGTTGTGGATGACGATCGTCATGATTCTTGGATCAGACCTGAGGGCCGAACTTACTTTGCTTAACCGACTACTCAAAGTTGTGGAGAAAGCATTCAAGGTTCGAAACAATTTATAGATTATGGATAGGGTTTGTCAATATTTGTTGTTTGCTGTATATTAGCGAATTTCCTTATAGGGAAGTAGCTATTAGCGTGTTGAGACTTGAGCCCGGGACCGATTTACTTTTGCATTTTGATGTCCCCAGAGGCCAAAAAAACTATTCTTTTAAACTTTTTATATGTGTACATATATATATCCATACCATATAGATAATTGAAATTAGTTAAAAGGGTACTAGGGCCTAATGTTTTTTGTAATGTTTTCAGTGTGTCTGTGAATAACCAATTAATTAACTTGAGTAATTTGTGTTCGATTTTGATGACATTTGGTTTGAAGGTGTAAGGCAGGATAAACTTGGATGAGTTCTTGAACCAACATGATCGGATGATGGGAATGGGGTTTTATTGGGTAAAAAATGGGTTTTCTCATTTTTGACCATCAAAACACAAAATTTCCCAATTTCTCTTTAGACGATTTTAAAGAGCGTAAAAAGACAAATAATTTAGTATATTGAAATGTTTTTGTGTTGTTATTGGTAACAGAGAAAAATAAAAAAAAAATTTAAATTCCAATGTTATTCTTACAGAGAATTTTGTAAAATGTTGTAGTTTTCTTGTTCATGAATATATATTGATCAAACTTATCAAATTTATTTATTTAATACTAAGCTATTAATATTTTACTAAAAAAAACACACACTATTAGCCTCCCTGTAGCAGCAAACCTAGGTACTCATTTAACCTAATGTTATTTAAATAGATTTAAAGTCAGGACCACGTAAGTTTGCAGTTGGTGGCAGCCAATCACAATACAAGGCTAGTGCGACGTTGCCACATCACCCGTTGACAAGACTAATTAAAATATACTAAGCAATATTTTCAACTCAGCTGGTATTATTAGATTTGGCAACACCGAACGGTTCTCATTGGTTCATTCAAACCCATATGGTAAATAGGCTCATCCCTCAACTGCAAACTTATGTGGTCCCGACTATAATTGTATATCAATTCAGGCAAATGGAAATTCACTTAGTCTGCAGGTTTGCCGGTGCGGGGGTATTTTTTTTAGCAATGTATATACACAACATCTTGTAATTAAAAATATTAAGAATTAGCCTAATAAATATGGTAGACCTTTAATTTAAGTTGATTACCGTACACTAAAACAAATGCATAGCCTACAAAAAAATCATTCTAACAATTTCAGTACGGTACATACAAAAATTTGGAAGGTTAAATTTGAAGGTAATTTTACTGCTGTCAGGTAGGGTTTCCGTTTCTGTTAAAAAATTAAATTGATTTTCTAATTTGATGTATTCTCTTAATTTTTAAGATCTTCTCTGATAAAAGGTATATTTGCAATTTGCATGATTAACTTGATGATTAACTCGATTAGTAACATACTACTGTGTATCTATGTAAAATGTTTCTGTGTATTTTGATAGAATCTGAATTCTCTCTATTTAATTAATTATTAATTTTTAGTTTGAAGCTATTCCTTGAGCTTGATACTCAAGGTTCAAATAGGTTTAAATCAAACTTTCGAGTCCCTTGCCAGCCGTGGATGACTAGGTTAGCACTTTGTGTTCCCCTTTCTAACAAACTTTTTATTCAAATTTAAAATATTCCTTTTAATTTGGAATGTTACAAAATTAAACTACGTAAATAACAAATATTAAATATACATCGATTTTTTAAGAACCACACTTTTCTGAAATCATAATATATTTCTAACCAATAGGAAAAACATATTTTATTAACAATCAACATAAAATTTCAGATGAACGATGAGAATATACGTTACCAGGGGTTCGAGTGCTGGTGTAAGCTTATTGACAACTTTTCTATCAACAAGCAAGAAATAAACAATAAAAGACGACTTGGCCTTCTGATAATTCCTCTCAAAGCCAACAATCACAATACTCCGAGATTGTGTGCTGCAAAAATGAAGGTAAATAAAAGAAATCCAGTTAAGATATTAAGTAATTATGAAATTAGTTAAGAGATAATGTTAACTATTTGCTTTACCTATTACATTGGTGAATTTCTGCACCTTGTGTTGTCTCTTCACATTCAGATCTTGTGTATCTGTCAACTAGCCAACTGTTAAGTCCCCTCGTCGTCATTGCCTCTTATATTTCCTTGCTAACTGCATCCAGGTAATTCTCTTTTCCTCTTTTCTGGCAGGATCATTCCAAAACAATTTGTTGGTCCTCGTCCAATCTTTTTATATAGTCAATCTGCACTTGTCGCCTATTCTGAAATTCACCCTCTTTATTTCCCTCTACCCCTTCCATTGTTTTTTTCATTATTCCTTGCATGATTTAATCTGGTTTTCTTACTACCTACTCCTACTGAGCACATCCATTTCTGTTGCCAACAACATTTCTTTATTTTGCTTAACGTCCCTCACCTCTGATCCAGAACCACTTGATTGATTATTTTCTTCTTCTCTGATATTTCTCTATCCAACCGAAAAGAGCTAAACCCTTGTTACCTTTCTTTCTTTTAGGATTCTTACCTAGTTATTTATTTGAATTAATATTTATTAGTCTTACCCACATATTTTGCACTACATTAGGTAGTTAAGTAGTCTGATTAGAAATAGAATAAAATATGCATGTTCAACTAACTCTATTGTATAGTGGTATACAGAGACTTTAGATATGTAACATGCTTTAGACCAGATTTTAGATCACCTTGCTCGGTTAAGTTTTAGATAAACCATTCTATGGACTAATGTACAAATGTGAAATAAAGAGGTATTGATTTTGTAGACATGGAAGCATATACTCTCCAAGCTGGACCAGCACAGTGAGATGACAGTTGATTTGTTGATAACTCACTTCTTGGAATTCATGTTCCGTGGGGTCGGCTCCATTGCGCCGGCCTGTAAGACTCTCAACACAGAATGCGCCAGTGTGTTCTCACAGATGCTGCAGACACCGCTTCCCTTCCGTATTGTTCCTGACCTCTTCATCAGATACTCGTTTGTGTGCATTGAACACGTCCACAGGGATTTAACTCTCTGTATGAACATATGGGAAAGCGTACTCGGTGAGTGATAAACTTTTATACTTATTTTATCGTAAATTAGAGATGGAAAGCACAGTTATTTTGCAATAATTGCCAGGAACGTTCTCTAGCTTTTCAGTAGTAGGTGAAATAATACTATTACTGTTGTCACCTTATTAATTCCTCATCAAAAACGTTACAGCTGGTTGCTGTTAATAGGATAAACAATTAAAACTATTGTCAAAATCTCTTTTAGAGAATTTAAAAGAGTTTTTTTTTTAAATCTGTCGAATCTGTTGTTGTTTGAAGACAGGATCCGCATTATTTCACTTGCTCGTTCCAACAGTTCAGTCGACATTAAAAAAAAAATAATTTTGTTTCCAAAATACTATATTAATTTGTGATGCTCACTGTTAATAGGAAGACATGATCAAAATTACCTCACTCGCTTATTGTACAGTTCAGAAGATGTAACAAAAAAATCATATTCCCAAGGTACTACCAAGGTACCATCGTACTACCAAAGTACTATTATTTTGTAATGCTCGCTGTTAATAGTAAGCCATAATCAGCGGGATAAATATTTCATTTGTTCGTTTAAACAGCGTAAATGATGTTACTAAAATAATAGGGTAGGCCTATTCTCAGTAATCATACGAGGGTATTTAAAAGGTGACACTTCTGCTACTGTGCTATTCGTCCTATTTCGATTAGTATCACCCACCTCTAATGTTAGGCCTAAATGTAAAAGATTTTGTTATGTACATTTTTATTTGCTTCCAAATTCTAATGAACTTAACTAGAGCTAAGAATAGATAGAAGAGGTGTATTAAATTTTTAGAATTCCTAAATGATTTTTGAATTAAATAAATAAATATAGGATGGAGAGGACACAGCTAACTCACCTGATGAAAGGTTGCAGACGAGTCAAAGAACACATAAAATCACACACATAATATACTTAATATTTCACCTCTTTCAGAGGCTTCTTCAGAAGTTGTTTTGTAACTACCATCTAGGCCTACTTCTGAAGAAGCCTCTGAAAGAGGCGAAATATTAAGTATATTATGTGTGTGATTTTATGTGTTCTTTGACTCGTCTGCAACCTTTCATCAGGTGAGTTAGCTGTGTCCTCTTCATCCTATATTTATTTATTTAATCCAAGCTAAATGCTTTTTCCTAAAAACATAACCTTTAAATGATTTTTGAATATTCTTGATCAATGTTAGCTGTGTAATCTGCTTTGTTTGTTGTTTGTTTGAACATGGGTGGAAATACTTTTAATGTAGTCGTCATGTTGTATCTTATAAAGATACAAATGAAATTTATAATGAGAAATACAACTGTGGAAATGCCGTCTACACACTTATTTTATAGGAAAATAAATATTTTATTTTACTTACCATACATTTTATGATGAAAATAAGGTGCTTGACTCATGATGGTTCTATATGCTCACAAACCTACTCTCTTTGTCCTGTTGACGATATACAACATTTATTCCTTGTCCAAATTTAATGTTGCTACCAGTTTGTTAACAATATTTTTATAATGTATTCCAACATATTTTCTCTTACATCAGTTCAAAGATTTGTTCTAAAGTCTAAACAATTTATTCCAGTGGACTAATTTTAAAAAATTGATTTTATATAGATACGAGGTGTTAGCCCGTCCTACGTACGGGAATTCAGTAGTCAGTTAAAACCGTGTACAATTCAGATCAGCTAGTTTACACATATAAAGACAAAGTTTCTTGCAGTTTTTATGTGAAAAATCATCTTGTAAACAAATGTTGTGTGACCAAATATGTTTTTATTCCATCATAGGCCTATACGATATGCATTTTAAATCCGATAATTTTACAATAAAACAGCAATTCTGCAATTTTTACTATGTGAAAAGCGTTGAAGTGAGATTTGCAGCCGATTCACACAGACGCACACTGATTATAAGTAGCCTACAGTAGAGAGAGTAATAGTCAATCGAGAAGTGTATAAACCTAGTCAACGATACCGCCTTCCATAGCATACCTGCCTCTTCCATAATTATTATCACCACAATACAACTACTATACACAATTTCCAGTAGGTCTGAATAGAAACGACCTAAAATAAAACGATAATATCCAATAAAATTCACAGTACACATAATTTAAGTTTGGTGTCCTAAAATCAAAACTAATCGTCACACCTATCCTTTAAATCAATTTCACTGCATTAATTGCTAAATAAATAAGTGTAAACAAAGAAAAGTAAAAACAATAACAGTTTGTTTTGAAACAGCTGTTTGGTTCAAATAACATTCATTTGAAAAAAAGAACAGGTCACATGTAGCAGGAATATAAAAAGTAAACACGCTAGTAAAGCTAATGACGTAATGGTCAATGTTTATTATCCATACCGTTATCCGTTATATCCTTGATAATTACCCACCCTCATTGAATAAATGTACATAGTAATTTCCCATATTAGTTAATTTAAACTACAATATATTCATAGTTGAAATAAAAGTGATATTTTCACGTTTGGGGGCGCTGATATAGGCACCCCCAAACGTAACCAGAACTGAACACGATTTCATAAAAGGATGGTTTCTCTAATTGCAGTATCCTAGGTCAATGTTGAAGTTGTGTTCATCTATGTCATCCATCTGTTTATCTTTTTATAAAACCCGGCTGAGGTTGTGGTGGTAATTTAAAATCGTGATTCCTGATTATTCTTGATCTTCTTTTTATGACATCAATATTTCCGGGCCATATCCAAACAAAGTTAAAGCAGACAAACATTAATTGTAAACAAAAAGCTACCATGAAGAACTAAAACATGTAAACATTGTTATTTATCTATTCTTTCCTTGAAAAGTGGAGTAGTAAAATAATTTGCATTTATCCTTTTTTATTAAGACTCGTGTACAGAGCCTCGATTTGTACTGTGGTTTAATTAATTTTGGTCTATACTATTTTAAACTGTGGTCTAATTATCTTTACTAATCTCACTTATTTCCTTTAATCAATGACAAAATAAGAGTAAATAAAATAACCTCATAGTTCCATATTTTATATTTAACCAGCTGTTAGTTAAAACAAATTATATTGCTCTAAAACAAATCGAAGATTACAAAGATTGCTTTAAAAAAATAATTTGAACATCCTAGTATTTTACTATGTATAATTTAATTAATCTGTCATCCTCTTACAGAAGAATTGAACGTATCAATGATTTGCATTACACATAGTATAAATAAGTCAACCCTAAGTATGTCTTTACATTTTTATCCAAATGCTGAATTTGTGACACAAAAGCTGAATGTTTACAGCTGTTATGTTAAGCAAATTATTTTATGCCAAAAGCTAGTTTAGAATCTTAGCGTCGGCTGCTAGACTTTTTAAAAATTAAAACTTAATTTCTAAAAAACTGAGACCCTAAACTAAATTTATGGCTTCGACATTCCCTAGTTCTCAAAATTATCTTTCTTTCAACACAAAAATCATGAAAATCGGCCAAGTGGTTGATTCAGAATCGTGAAATAAAAAACCCCTGTTTCGTTTTAATATTATAGATTGCAAAATTTATCATACTGCTCAACTTAGTAGGCCTACTTCTAAAAATACAGTAAATAAAATAAAACTTGTTAAATTATTGATTTTGACCCATCCCACTACACCACTCATCATCAGGCATATGAGTATGAATTTATCGAGCAGTGTTAGAAGACGTCTTTTACTTCAAAGCACTGAAGTTCAATGTGAATTAGAGGTGTGCGGATAGTGAAATTTCATTTCGGATCGGATAGTTGAGGCTCGGTTCGGATCGGATATTGGGAGGTTCGGATTCGGATATTTTCGGATTCGGATAGTTCGGCGCGGTTAATAATAAGCTGCATATGTATTTTTAACCTATAAAACAATGTAAAGCTGTGTAAATAAACTTAAATGACAATTTTGAACTATAAATATATAGGATGGAGAGGACACAGCTAACTCACCTGATGAAAGGTTGCAGACGAGTCAAAGAACACATAAAATCACACACATAATAATACTTAATATTTCGCCTCTTTCAGAGGCTTCTTCAGAAGTAGGCCTAGATGGTAGTTACAAGAACAACAGTTTAAAATAGGATGACACAGTTTGAATTCAAAATGTCTGACAGGTTGTCCAACTGATACTACACAAAGCACTAAATACAGTCACATTGCAATATTGTATTTACATATAATATGTATATTGAAAAGTAAATTAGTTTTTTCCATGGAAATAAATACTTAAGAGTTAGCTGTGAGGGTGAGGATATAGGATATTATCTAATGTTGAGGTTAGGTGGGGTTCTGGAGTTGGTCACAAACTGGTAAGCTAATTCCCATCTTCTGAGCATTGAACTATTGCATTGGTTCTTTGGCAATGATTTTAGAGCTTTTATGGTGAAACATTCATCAAATAGAAGTTGGTGGGATAAGGCATGTTGTGCAACTGGTTTTTCTTTGCTAGTTTTAACATCATGTCGATGGCCGTTCATGCGTTTTCGGAGAGTCTCGGTTGTTAGGCCTATGTACTGGGCTGGACAATGTGAACATTGAAGCTGGTAGATAAGGTTCTCTGAGCTGCAGGTATGATGGCCTTGGATTCTGTAATTTTTATTATGGTATGTGCTGGTAAAAATTTCTGTAGGATGGTGTATCTGGCAAGATTTACACCGGTTTTCATTGCATGGGTATGAGCCCGGTCTTGGTTTCTCAGATGGTATTTTTGATGGATTTGGGAGTTTTGGGTGGACTAGCATATTCCTCAAATTTGGGGGTTGCCTATAAATTATGGAAGGGGCTCTTGAAAGGAGGTTTTTGGTTTGGCTGGAGGACTCTAGGATTTTGAAACCTGTTTTGAGGAGGTTGTTTAGTTGTTGCAGGCCAGGGTGGTAAGTGGTTATCAAATTTACTTGAAGATGGCTGGTGTTTTTCTTTGTAGTAGGACGTGGATTCTGAGCTGCTTGGATCTGAGATTTTACGAGAGTGCCAGGATAGCCTCGGTTTTCGAAGGCTTTTTGAAGTTGGGTTTGGTATTGTTCTGCAAAAACTTAACAATGTCAAACAACCACTCCCCGCTAACACTCTCATGGCCACCATTGATGTCACCTCACTCTACACAAACATACCTCATGTCCACGGCCTAACAGCAACAGAAAACTACCTTCAAAACAGACCCAAAGGATCCCTACCCACCACTTCGTTTATAACTCAACTGATAAAATTCATTCTGGAAAAGAACTATTTCCAATTTCAGGACAAACACTTCCTACAGATCAAGACAAAAACTTTTCTTCATAATTCCCCATGTAGAGATTAGCATAAGATGGGGCCATTCTTGTTCCCATGGCAGTGCCCTTGATGCAGAAGAAATTTATTCCATAATAAATTCATAGTCTAAGCGACAACCATGTAAAAATATCCATCAAGAAACCTATTTTTAATTGTTACAGAAAACATGAAGCACAACCAGTGGTCGGAGAGTCATGTGACAGAGTTGTTGACATGTTTGACCAACGCCAGCAAGACCGACAAGTTAGGCAAGAGCAAGACTTTTGCACACATGGTGCGGTCGCTTTATAGTGGCAAACACCAATTACCTTTAGGCACACAGGTCAAACATCTCAAGACCATCATGGCCGTGGCGCTGGAGCCGCATGTACTGGTCAACTATGCAGAAGACTGGTGAGTCTAGTAGAATCTACAATGAAAATTATATATAAGCCAAATAAAGTTTCTCCGTTTTTAAAACACAAAAAAGTGACAGGAATAGAATGTAAAATGTGTAAAACAAAGGTAAAACATTGTTTTTATCATGGTAGTATTAAGGCCCCATTATAAAAACAGGCCATGCTGCAGGATCCATGACGTCACACTAGTGGATAGATTTGTTCATAGATTCACTGCAATATATTTTAGGTAAATAAGCTGTCTGTTTGTCAGATTTGAAGGGTAAGATTTTAGTACAACTATCCACCACTGTGACGTGGTGTTACGCTGCCCGCGCTGCAGCATGGCCTCTTTTCTAGTGGGGCCTTGGTAGTATGCGTTGCGTAATAAAGTAAAATACATTTTTTCTCTTGTTTCCTGGAGAAGACCATTACAAATATTCCAAACCAGATTAGTTGACTTGTGTTTTATTAAATCAGAAATAAGCCATACATAGTCTAAAAAAACCCAGAGCCACATTTTGCAGGCATTAGCTGTTAGAATTTGTTCCTGACTATTAGGGATGGTCGAAACCAGACATTTTGAATATCAAAACCGAAACATAGAAATTAAAAATTAACATAGATATTAGAAATTAAATCCCGAAACTTAAATACGAAGCCTTTTTCTTGCCTGGTTTTAAGTTTACAAAAATATACTGATAATAATAAAATGTTTATTAAGCAATCAATATCGAAAGAAATTAGACTTAAAAACATGAATATGTTACTAATGCACTTTAAACCTAAAAACACATCAATGATGTTGATAAATAAAAATTACTTAATTAAATTAAACTCCTGTCACAGTCATGATAACTTGAATATGAGATAAATTTTAATATTTTAAAATACTCATTATTTATGTCCAATATTTATGACCAAAACATGTTGGCAGTTTTAGTTTTGAGTTTTGAATCTCAAAACTGAAATCTTTCCAAAGCTTTGTTGGTTTTGAGATTTGGGTTAGATACATTTAAAGTCCTATACTGACTATTCATAAAAGAATCTTGACTATAATTATCTTAACTTAAAAAATATACAATGATTCTTTTGTTTCATAATTAAAAGAAACCTTCAGTGAAGAGCAAAGCGTCTTCACCCCATAAATAAGTGTGTAGCATAGTTCTTACTTAAAGTCCTATACTTAAATTGTAGTTTAATTATTAACACTGTGCAATAAATTCAATTCAAAATTCAATTATACAAAGTTTATATTTTTAACAATTCAGCAAACTTGCACTTTGGAATGTTATTTTTGTTAATACAAACTTTTTTTCAGGTATAACGAACTACTGAACATAGTTGCAGAAACAGACCATATTCAACTACCTCAAAGTATTATTGGAGACATCATTTCCAAGTTAAATGTACTCGCTGTCTCTGAACAATTTAGGTATGTTGAAAACTAATTTTAACCACAGTAAAACTCCAACTATCCAAACTCGTCCGAATCGCTAGAGAAATAATAAAAAAATTTAAAACCACAGTAATAAGAATCGTTATATAAGAAGGAAGAAGCCGTCATCACAGCAAAATCCAAAACCTCTCTCGCGATTGTGTTGACATCATCATCTTCTTCCGGGGTTACGGAAAAATCGTCATAGTTTTTTGTGATCGTGACAAAATGATAAATACATCCCACTCCACGGTCGTACAGACATCATCATCGTCTCCTGCAATCATGGAAACATTGTCATCGTTTTCCCGCGATCGCGGAAAAATTTTAAACATCTTCCATGGTCTTGTAGATACCATCATTGTCCTGTGGTTATGGAAAGTCATACTCGTACTCCGCAATCGCGGTGAAAGCATAAATTTTCCGATTGTGAAATTGTCACAGATGTCTTCTGCGATTGCAATAGTAAACGCTCGGCATGACTCGACCTATTTTCTTTAAAATACCCTGAATTTTGGTAAAAATCCAATTATATAAATGATTATTACCAAATGAGGTCTGGTCCCAATTGATTAGAATAATTGGAGTTCTACTGTACTTGTATTTCTACAAAAAATCATCTTGGTTCTTAGACTTGTAAGAATATTTTACTAGATTTTAAGTTTTTTTTTTCAAGGTAACGTAAACCAAACTAGTAATTTTATCATCCAATAATGATTTTTATCATTGATTGACAAACCTCAGTGATAAATGGCATCTAGTTGTAGGCCTAATCCAGGGCTAGAGATGGCTGGCTCACTCCTTTGATGTTAGCGGTCGCCGCCTGATCCTACTTCCCCTCCCCCGCCCCTCCTCAGTGACGTAGCGGAGATACATCTGCGCGAGGCGCGACGGTAGCCTAGCACGGCAGTGCATATGTCGCCCGGCATCTACGCGCATATTAATAATTGTGTTTATAATAATTTAGTTTTATAGTGTGATTTTTAAAGTGGGTTTTGTTAACCCTCCAACTTTCAATGGGCGAACTCTGTAATGGCAAGGCATTTTTGGCGATTTTGCAGTCATATTTTCGAAAATTCATATAAGCTAAACCAACAGATCAAACCTATGAACCGTATTTATTATTTCCAACTTGAAGTGTTCGTAATGAAATGAAGAATTTTAAAATGGAAACGAAATAAATATTAAAAATATTTTAGAAAATATTGTCAGTAGGTAGAAAAATTGCTGCATGAACCAAAAATGTTTCATAAGATATACAAATTGTTTGGAATTTATTTCCCTACATGGAAATGTAAAAAGATTCCAATTACCATCTATACAAAGTTATGGCCCAAAAACAATAAAATAACAAGTTTCACGATTTTGCACAACAAATTTCAAATAAAAACCAAATAAATGTATTATCAAGAGATAAAGTAAAAGTAAACAAACATTTTTAGGCAATTGTGAAGTAAGAATTGGATACTGATCATTTCAATAGATGTTTATGACTTTTAATAAATGTTTATATTTGTCTAGAAAAACATTTTGTTATTCACACGTATATATTATTTTTAAAACCTAAACCAACTATATAAAATGAAAGTAAACCCCTACATGAATATACATAGTAGTACCTGGGGACCGAGCTTTGCTCGGGGGAAATTATTAGTTTACTCTGAAAAGTATTGCAGATACATTAATCCACTCCCCATCTCCAAACTGCTAACCTTCACTACTTACTTCACCACTCCCTACGTCGTGGACCTGTTTGCCCTCCTTCCCTATACCATTTTAGAATTGCAGATACATAAATGCCACAGACAGTTCCCACACTCTGCACTGCTAGCATTACTACTTCCTACACCATTTCCTACGTCATGGACATGTTTTACTCCCTTCTCGTAGCATTTTAGGATTGTAGATACCTTAATGTAATTCCCATAAACAGTTCCCAGACTCCAGACTGCTCACCTTTACTACTTCCTTCACCACTTCCTACGTCGCGGACCTGTTTCTCTCCCTTCCAATGGCATTTTAGGATTGCAGATACCCTAATCTAATCGTCATTAACAGTTCCAAAACTCCGGGCTGCTTGCCTTTACTACTTCCTTCACCTCTTCCTACGTCGCAGACCTGTTTCCCTCCGTTCCCATAGCATTTTAGGATTGTAGATACCTTAATCTAATCGTCATAAACATTTCCCACACTCCGGACTGCTCACCTTTACTACTTCCTTCACCACTTCTTACGTCGCGAACCTGATTCCCTCCCTTCCCATAGCATTTTAGGATTGTAGATAACTTGATCTAATCATTATTAACAGTTCCCACACTCCGGACTGCTCACCTTTTACTACTTCCTTCACCACTTCCTACGTCGTGAACCTGTTTCCCTCCCTTCCCATAGCATTTTAGCATTGCAGATTCCTTAATCTAATCGTCATAAACAGTTTTCACACTCCAGACTGCTCGCCTTTACTACTTCCTTCATCACTTCCTACGTCGTGGACCTGTTTGCCCTCCTTCACTATACCATTTTAGAATTGCAGATACATAAATGCCACAGACAGTTCCCACACTCTGCACTGCTAGCATTACTACTTCCTACACAATTTCCTACGTCATGGACCTGTTTTCCTCCCTTCTTGTAGCATTTTAGGATTGTAGATACCTTAATGTAATTCCCATAAACAGTTCCCAGACTCCAGACTGCTCACCTTTACTACTTCCTTCACCACTTCCTACATCGCAGACCTGTTTCCCTCCATTCCCATAGCATTTTAGGATTCTAGATTCCTTAATCTAATCGTCATAAACAGTTTTCACACTCCAGACTACTCGCCTTTACTACTTCCTCCATCACTTCCTACGTCGCGGACCTGTTTCCCTCCATTCCCATAGCATTTTAGGATTGCAGATTCCTTAATCTAATGGTCATAAACAGTTTTCACACTCCAGACTGCTCGCCTTTACTACTTCCTTTACCACTTCCTACGTCGCGGACCTCTTTCCATCCCTTCCCATAGGATTTTAGGATTGCAGATTCCTTAATCTAATCGTCATAAACAGTTTCCACACTCCAGACTGCTCGCCTTTACTACTTAAGTCACCACTTCCTACGTCGCGGACCTGATTCCCTCCCTTCCCATAGCATTTTAGGATTGTAGATAACTTCATCTAATCGTTATTAACAATTCCCACACTCCGGACTGCTCACCCTTACTTCTTCCTTCACCACTCCCTATGTCGTAGACCTGTTTGCCCTCCTTTTTTATACTATTTTAGAATTGCAGATACATAAATGCCACAGACGGTCCCCACACTCTGCACTGCTAGCCTTACAACTTCCTTTCCCATTTCCTACGTCATGGACCTGTTTTCCTCCCTACCATTACATTTTAGGATTGCAGATACCTTAATTTAATCGTCATAAGCAGTTCCCACACTCCAGACTGCTCGCCTTTACTACTTCCTTCACCACTTCCTATGTCGTGGACCTGTTTTCCTCCCTTTCCATAGCATTTAAGGATTGCAGATACCGTAATCTAATCGTCATAAACAGATCCCACACTCCACACTGCTACCCTTGACTATAGAATCTAGTAATCTTCAGTATAATCTTTGCTCAATAGTAACAACTGATGTTTTTCCTTTTGTACTGTATTTTGTTTTGCTAGTGTACTGTGGATAGACAAATTACAAGTCTTTTGTTTACTTTTTTCTTGTTATTTAATTCAGCCAACATGGTTACCAAGCAACCCATAAGACTAATGTTAAAAAAATGTGATTTTTAGTTTCATTTTTCTACGTATTTAGATTTTTGTTGGCAGTTATAACTGCAGTAAACTCGTTTTTAGGCCAGAAATAAACTATTTACAACATTTGAAGAAAATCGTCGGAGCCGTTTTCGAGATCTTGGTACAAGCAAGCATACATACATACAAACATTGCTCGTATTAGAGTATAGGATACATAGGCAAATATACAAAAATAAATATTTTATAGTTTTTTCTATAAAATGCTGATGTGCCTTTTTCATTTGGCGATTAAATCGTTTGTTAATTATGACAAAATGTTTCAAAAACGGGCTAAATGTAATGTCCCAGACCTTAAATTAAGTAAGTATATCCACATAAAACAGTTTATAAACTAAATAAGTACAATTTTTACAACTAATAAATATGATTAAAGTGATAAAGTCAAACCCGCGATATTCGTTGTTGGTAAACAGTCAATGAAGTTCAAGTTCACAAAAACTGGCTAAAAAATAGTGTCTCAAGTTTCTAAAAGTAATGTCACATTACAGTCGAGGCACAATAAATAATATCGTAACTAAACATTTACAACGTTTAATCACGATGTAAACTGATAAAGTAAAATCACACCAAAACTCGACTTTTTAGTTATTGGTCAACAGAGATTGAGGTTTAGTCAGGCAACTTAATGTATTTTTGCAACTATATGTTATTTTAATGTATTGAAATATGTAGGGCCTATAATAAAATGTAATTGATTAGGGTGAAGTGGGGTAAGAGTAACCGGGGGGCTAGTGTAACCACGGCTTATCACTCAACTAATAAGATAATTTTATGACCTAAATACTATCATATCTTGTTATTTGGACCTTCCTTTGTTATATTTAGCCTTAAGAATGCATATAAAATATGTGCAAGTAATAGTTTTAGAATGTTTAAAAAAGGCTTACATTTCCACTCCATCGGCAAGTGCCGACCTCAAACTTTGACAATTTTTCATACTCACATTTTTAATGTAAATTTGACAGTTTTTGGTTTACAAACTAATTTTTGCATGTAGAATCTGAATATAATTTCAGATCTGTGCTATTTCCTATTGTTTAGATTTTACAAGCGTGGTTACACTTACCCCTGAAATTTTGCAGTCGGGGCAAGTGGCTTTTTGGATTCGGGGCAAGTGTAACCAGGGTGTAACTCATATAATATTCAGTATAAAGAAAAAAAAACTTTGTTGTAAATATAAAATTTGGAATTCAGAAGATAAGGTAAAATTTTACACATATTGTTACTGAGTTAAGTTGGTTTGAAGAAAAACATAATTGTTTGTGAGTGAACTGCTTAAGTGATTATATAACTTTTACGTTAAACTTACCCCGTTTTATAATTTAGGATTTTCTTGCCCAAATGTAAATAAAAAAACAATATTACTGTGAGATTTATTCTACACATGTTAAACAACATTAAAAACCATGTAAGTACCAATTAATGTTGTGTTTTTTATGTTTTAACAGTAATCTTTCCGTTTTGCATGTTTTGCGTTTTTCACAAAACGCGAGAAGAGGTTCACGAAAAAGTTCGTGACTTGAGTAAAAATTAAGATATTTTAATAAGTCAAAAAGTCTTGGAATCAGCAAAAGATTTGGAATCTGGCCACTTGCCCCATGTCTCTTTTTCAATGCTTTACATATTTTTAACAGGCAGGGGTTACACTTGCCCCGAACCCTGGTGCAAGTGTAACCACAAAACGCAAAATTTTTAGTCATTTTTTATTACCAAAAAGATTTTATTTTTTAATAACAATGCATATTGTTTTAAAGCCCATTAGTCAATGTTTATGCATAACAAATTTCAGAACTATATCATGTATAACAAGATGGCAATTTGAGGTCAAAGCTGAACTATGCCAAAACGTGGTTACACTTACCCCACTTCACCCTAATTGAAATTCTTTTCCTTCCTGTTAAAGTTTCAAAATACTAAGTATAGGTAATGTATTTTTATACAACCTCAATGTATTTTATATAACCTCAATGAATCCTAAAAGGTACGAATAAATAATAAAAATACAATTAATAACCCATACATTAAGATACATTCGAGCAATACGAACACAGATATTACACAGTAACTTTAATGCATTGGATCAATAACTACAGTAATCTTAGCCATCGCTTTACATTCCACTCCCATCCTTAAATGTCTACTAAAGTTAATTTTTTACTTATTAAAATTGATGTTATACGTAATCCTATTTGAAAATAAATTACTTTTATAAAATACATTAATACCTAATAAAAAATGTCCAACATAGAGCTTAATAAACGCTAAATGTGCGGTAATACCAGCGCTCACACAGGCAAAGATATACGGTGCCGGTGCCGGGAGCCTGCCGAGGTATCGCCGTGACGTCACAGCGGCGGAGTGGTGGGGAGCCACCTGGCATCACTTTCTGAGCTCGCGTGGCCTAGCCCTTGTATATCTCTAGCCCTGGGCCTAATCAGCAATCAAGATTTGAAGTTCAGCACTACAACCTCTCGGGACTTGTCATTCTGTTGCATTTCTGTTAATACTTATAAGTGTAAGAATTCAATGGGAGTACATGTACGGGATGGGACCAAAAGGCTTATATACCATCGTTACGTAGTTTTATTTTCTTCTTTTCTTAAACAATATCACATTGTATGTGTGGTGATGATACTACCTAACATTACCCTCAAATAATTAATTAAAAATATCCTTCTATGCCATTCAGTGTCCTATCTGGAGTCCCGCAAGGGTCCCACCTCGGTCCCTTGCTGTTTAATCTGTTCATGAATGACATTGGCAACGTCATACTCACCAAATTTCTCATGTTCGCCGATGATATTAAGGTATTTGGCTCGGTGTCATTGGCTTCTGACTTTGAGCGCCTCCAACTTTCTCTCACTAACATCGACGCCTGGTGCAAGGAAAACTTCATGGAGCTCAACGTCTTGAAATGTGTCGTCATCTCCTACAAACGTGGTGCAGCCCCAGTCCAATATGACTATGTCCTCAATGGATCCACACTGAAGAGAGTGGGCAGGGTACGAGATCTCGGAGTGACAATGACCCCTTCGCTCAACCCTCATGAGCACATTGCCCACATTTATTTATTAAACATCATCACATTACATCAATTCTCTTGACAGGTGATTTGTCACAAAGTCTAATACTAATACTATACTACATTACAACCAAAGCTAGCTCCCTGCTTGGTTTCATATTCAGATCAACTAGGAATTTCAACTCACCTTTCACCTTGATCACGCTCTACAAGTCCCTGGTACGCCTGCTGCTGGAGTATGGGTCTATCATCTGGTCTCCCTTCCAGAAGAACCACGTCAGCCAACTGGAGAGCATACAAACCCGCTTCATACGGATGCTTGGACCGAAACTTGGTTTTACCTACCGCACTACCCCGGTTGACGATGTGGAGAAGTCCTTCGATCTTCTGCCTTTGTCACTCCGACGTCATCATGCCGACATATTCATGCTTTACAAGCTGGTTAACGGGTTTGTTGATTGCCCCAACATCCTGAGTGGTATCGACATTACCACGCCCAGAGGCACACGCTCCAAGACTATATTCAGCAGACACTTTCTCCCAGCCTACTATTCTTACAACAGCGGAATTTGCCGTCTACTCAAGGCTGGTAGCACGGCGGCTGCTCAAATGGATTTCTTCGGTGAGAAGCCCCTCCCGTTCAAAAAGAAGGTCTCCCTGATCACTTGAGTAACCACACTCCAGCACATCTGCATATTTGTCTTGTCATCGTTGAAACCTGCTGTTCATATTCTTTGTTGTTACTCTTTTAGTTTATTCTTCTGTTATTAATATTTGTTATTACTTTGTTATTACTATTGTTATCACTATTTGTTATTACTATTTATTATCACTTTGTTATTACCATTGTTATTACTTTTCTAGTTAGTACTATTGCAAATGCCATCTCATATTGTATACACATATTTTGCAAAAAGGTGCAATCCGTTGGGGAAATAAATAAATAAATAAATAAATAAATAATAGATAATTCACAGACTTCAAAGAATTCTTTGTATTGTATTTTGCACCAAGAACGAGGCCCTCCAAGGCAGTGGCGGATCCAGAGTATGATTGGGGGGGGGGGGGGGCAAGTTGGATTATGAGGGTAACCTTCCAAGGGGGTAGTAGTCCAGGGGGGGTATTCCATACGAAGGAAGAGGGGTACCCCCTGGAAACTTTTGAAAATTTGATTTGAAAACTTGTGTTTTAAGACTATCTAGAGACAAAACATGAGTGTGTTTTCAATTTAAATCTATAGTATTTTAAATTTTTAATTAGATTAATTAAGATTTTCAATTTTTAATTAGATATATTTTTATCTTGGGGGAGGGCAATTGGCCCCTTTGCCCCACCCTTCTCCCTTGGATCCGCCACTGCTTCGAGGTGCGGGTCCCTGTGCGCTTGCACCTTTCGCTTGTGCCTAAGGAGGTTTGTGGCTCTGACTGACAGCAATCAATTAGGGAAGGCTTAAGTTTGAGAGAGAGACCTCTTTCATACAGTTATACTCTTTCTCCCGTCACTAACCTTATTTAGTTTAAAATGTTTTTACTGACAGTATATGCTTATATTTTTGATTTTTGTGTGTAGTAAAAGTGTGAGTTTCTTGTGACGGAATGGACTTTTTCCCATTCAGGTAGCCTGCTATCCTCAAAATTTTTTTACAACCTTGATCTTTGAGCTCTATGTTACACCCTTACCCTCCAATTAGTTAGAATACCACTTAATATTTCATAACAATTCATGCAACCTTACAACTACAATCTGATTTTCACAGGGATGAAAAGCTCAAGTTTCTCAGAGGCATGTGGATTTTAATGACAAACATAATTTGCAAGTGGATGTCCGATGGTGGTCAGATAGGTAAGAACGGAAACGCAGAAACCGATCTGCAAGACATTCACCAGCTTCTGTTTTTTGGTGCCGCTCCGCTTTCTTCAACGGTAAATTGAAATAAAAATATTTTTGGTTTTGTATGTGAAATATCCTAGCACACGAGTAAATTTTCTTATGCGCTGCTAAAAACACATTATTCAAGTAATCATTTTCAGATAGGTAGTATTAATAATTTCAGAATTACAATTTGCTTTTTATCTAAATAAAGTTTTCCAATTTGGTTTAAGTAAGATTAAATTTAAGATAGGCCTAGCAAAAGTTCAAGAAGGTGTTTATCAACAATTCATTGGATGTGTTTAGTTTTCATTATCATTGTGAAGTTCAAATCATATTAAGCTTCAAATACCGGTGAGCAAAATTATGTCCCTGTTTTAATGAAATGATAAAATAATTATTGTAAATTATAATAATACCATAAATGGTTTGAGTTTGATCCGACAATTGGAAATTTAGATGGAACAGAAGTAATATTATTTAGTAAGTTATATAATTATTTAATACTTATTTGTTAGGTAAACTTGTCAATATTTTAACAAATGTTTAATTTTTTCCCAGTGGAACAAACTTCAAATGAAGTCTTGGAAGACGCTTTACAGCGAGTGTGTGAAGTACTTTTCACTGTCGACCGAAGTAAAATGTGAAAAGTTTGTTGGGGATTTGGTAGAGCTTCTTTTAGAGGGTGTGAGAGACAAGAAAATCCCACTTCACATTGCGTTGGATCTGGTGTCTATAGTCCTTGAATATCACCTTGCTAAAGGTATGACTTTGACTTAAGTTTTGAATGGTGTATGTGATGGTCATTATTAGAGTCATAAAAGGACAGCAACTGTTGCTGACTGAGTTGTGCAACAAAAGTGGATGTCCCGTCATAAAGTTTGGTGTAACATGCCTGATTGAATAACTTTCATTGATTCAAATATTTTCTTAATACTTAGAATTACCATAATCAAGTGTAGAAAAAACATAGGTGATCAGAACTCTATTTCGCATGGTTCAACTTTTAGAAAATATCTATGGAAAAATAACTATACTCCGTTCACAAAATTTTGGCGGTTTTAGGGAAAGAAATCTATTCTCTCCACATCTGGATCCTAACATTAAAACATAGAGCTCAACCGATGAAATTTTTCAAAACGTCAATCAGCTGCAACAAACATTAAGCAGAAAAATGTGGAACTTCCCCTCCAACCGCCCAAATATTGTGAACGGAGAATGGGAAGGATGTGGTGTAACAAGAAAATCAGTGTGATAAAAAGATAGCATTGAAACACCATCAGGGTTTCCAAACAACCGTGAAAACCTTAAAACCGTGAATTAGGTCAACCGTGAAAAAACCTTGATTTAGCCGTGAATTTGTTTTTGAAACCTTAAAACCCCATGCCGCTGGGAGACGAAACAAGGGGCGAGTCATGTGAAACTGAATGCAGTGATATCGAGAAACGAGATTGTTGTGTGTGTGAGTGTTCAATGTTTTGTTGTTCATTAAAACAGGGTATTTGAAGCTTAATATGATTTAAACTTCACAATGATTCTGAATCAGACAACCGGCGTAGTTCATGCCGGCCCAAAATTATCGTGCGCTCTCAGTTAAATATTGTAGCCTATCCAAGTCTGATAAGTAAACGGAATCAGGGAACCGCTCTTGCTTTTTACGAAACGAAATAGTCGTAGACTGAAAACATCCAAATTGAGGTAGCACTGTCTCGGCAACTCTGCTAGAAAATCGAGACGCTGTAAAATGTTATTGTTATGTTGGTACCACTAAAAGAATCAACCAGCTGTTGGCTTAATTGCAATCCCACAATCCCCTAGTTCCGAAGTACTATTCCCCTTGTACAAATAATGGCAAAGGTCTCGCAACTCTTGGCATTCTCGCATTCAGTGTTACCTTCGGTTGTAGCTAGGGATGGACGGGTCCCGAAATTTCGGGAATTTTTCGGGAAAAAAATAATCCCGATTATCGGGACGGGATTACATTTGATTCGGGAATTTTTCGGGACGGGATTTGGTCCGATCGTCGGCGATGTTGCCGCTTCGCGAGTGCCGATGACGCCGCTATTGCGAGCAATAGGTCCGCGAACGCAGGAGACGAAGTCATTTCGACGATCGCGCCGTGACCGCGAGTCATACCGATGATCGCGCCGTGACCGCGAGTCATACCGACGATCGCGCCATGACCGCGGAGTCCTACCGACGATCGCGCCGTGACCGCGAGTCATACCGATGATCGCGCCGTGACCGCGAGTCATACCGACGATCGCGCCATGACCGCGGAGTCCTACCGACGATCGCGCCGTGACTGCGGAGTCATACCGACGATCAAGACGTGACCGTGGAGTCCTACCGACGATCGCGCCGTGACCGCGAGTCATACCGATGATCGCGCCGTGACCGGGAGTCATACCGACGATCGCGCCGTGACCGCGGAGTCCTACCGACGATCGCGCCGTGACTGCGGAGTCATACCGACGATCGCGCCATGACCGCGGAGTCCTACCGACGATCGCGCCGTGACCGCGAGTCATACCGATGATCGCGCCGTGACCGCGAGTCATACCGACGATCGCGCCATGACCGCGGAGTCCTACCGATGATCGCGCCGTGACCGTGAGTCATACCGACGATCGCGCCATGACCGCGGAGTCCTACCGACGATCGCGCCGTGACTGCGGAGTCATACCGACGATCAAGACGTGACCGTACCGACGATCGCGCCGTGACCGCGGAGTCCTACCGACGATCGCGCCGTGACCGCAGAGTCATGCCAACGATCGCGCCGTGACCGTGAGTCATACTGTCGATCATGCCGTGACCGCGAGTCATACCGACGATCATCCCGTGACCGTGAGTCATACCGACGATCATCCCGTGACCGCGAGCCATACCGACGATCGCACCGTGACCGTGAGTCACAAGTTTCTATAGGTACCTGTATATAGTTACCCATTTTTTTGGTTTTTATAGATCAGTACCACAAACGGTAAAAATTGATTTTGTATGTCTTTTTTTGGTAACTGCAATACTCAAGACTTTCTTTTTATGCACAGAAAAAATCCCGTCCCGTCCCGTCCCGAAAATCGGGAAGGAAATAAAAATCCCGTCCCGTCCCGTCCCGAACTAAAAATTCAATCCCGTCCATCCCTAGTTGTAGCTCTAGTTCAGTGCGAGCAACTATTGCCGCCATTGCCGGTATCGACTTTACCTTGACTTGACCGCAATAAGTATTTGTCTGCGTTCGTTTAGCAAGCAATGGCGGAACTTTACTGTATTGCAAACACTAGACAGACAACGTACGGTTTACACAATACGATTTCCAATCGACGCTCGACTGTGGATTGAATTGATGGTTGGTATTTAATATGTTATTTAATATGTTATTTAATATTTTATTAACAGAGTATACTATTGATCAACAATTTTAAAATTACAAATGTACCTAGAACGGTATTTACTCAGGGTAGGTATAGATGAGCTTACGATGACAGCTGTGGGCTTCTCATTAGCTGAGGGAACACCATTACCGTAACAATACGGTTTGCAGCCAACGGCCTCGGTGGTCTAGTGGTTAGCGTGCCGGGCTGATATGCTGAGAGTCCCGGGTTCGAATCCCGCTGGTGGCACTAACTTTTTGACTAAGATTTTTTCATTATCAGCAAGTTTGGTTTGGTATGACAGTTTAATTTGATTATTAAGTCATTATAAAATTTTAATTGAGCAATTTCTAGTTTTATTTAATGAACAGAATTATTTTTTCTATTAATAAACTTTTTTTATATTATTTCATTATCAGCAAGTTTGGTTAGTTCGGTTAGGTTATGATAGTAATTTTATAATAAACAAATTATAAAATTGAATTTGAGGCATTTATAATTTTATTTTATGAACAGAACTATTTTTGCGATTAGTAAACCTTCATTGCCAAAATGCTCTCTACTACAGCGCTGTTCACGGAGGAATTTTGAACTAATGCCTCAATCGTACCTCCCCTAAGTCAGACCCACCTAGAACAACCATAAATAACCAATAATGAACATTTGCCGTCTAAATAAAGTATACCGACCGTTCGATTTAGGTTTTAAAATATGTAACCGATTGGTCGTCTGTTATTTTTCCGTGTGTCAAAAGTAGTTACGTAACTTTTCATTGCAAAGAGCGAATGTAAAAACATACTCACAGTTAAACACAGTTACTTAACAGTTAATGTAGCACTAACTTTTCATTTATGGTTAGTGTAATATTTTTTTTTATGCTTCCTATTCCATTCTTGCTTTTTTAATCACCATATAAAAAAGCCCATTGCTTGTTGTCCTTATGGTTGTTTCCCAGCAGTGAGTGGAATGACATCTCTTTCTCTCTCTCTCCTTTCCCCCTTGCGCTCACTCCCCCCTCCCTTTCTGTCCCCTCAACCCCAAATTTGTTGTCCTCTCATTCTCCCTTACCCTCCCTCTCAACACCACGTCTCTGGTTTGATCCTGAGAAAAGTGTAGCTTTTTGATGATTCGAAACTGGACCCAGCTGTCCCTGATCATTGGCAAAAATAAACGGTCCTGACTAATGAAACAGCTGGTCTTAGTGGAACAAAGCTACAAAAGGCATTTCACTCCATTCTACACTCAGCCTTCACTCATACTTGGGTTAAAATACCCATCAAGGTGTCGTCCTCATCTAAATTGATAATAAAAAGCCCAGAGATCTTTCCTCCAAAATTAATCTCAATGAAATAACAACGTTTTAAGACTTTTAAATCTGGATTTCAGATGAATCAAGTGTATTGCCTTTGATGATGGAGGTGGCCGTTGGTACGATGAATTCCTTCCAAACGGATACAGTTGGCGCATATGCGTTGCTCAGTCAGTATCTCAAGATCATAGTCGTAGCCGCTAGAACGGAGACAGCACTGGTCAATGACATTTTGACCGTGGTGGACAAGATGTTAACGTTACTAGATGATTTTCCTTTGGCTGAGACGTACTTGGAAAAAACTAGAAATGCGGTAAGAAATGCACATTTACAGATAACGTATTGAACTAATTGTTTACTTACTGGAATATTCCTGATTATATATGATATTTAAGTGAATAATGCGACAATCTAGAATCACGAAATACAGTCTTGTATTGTAAACTATTACCACTCAATGAGGGAACAAAGGACTAGGTATTGATGTTTGTTGTTTTGGTACAAAGTCAAAGTCAAAGTCATCTTTATTGTCACAAAACGTTTTTTTTTATGCTCTGGCACAGCCAGACAAAACAGGTGACATTGTCAAACTATACTAAAATAAACTAGCTTATATTGGTAAAAATAAATACATAGTAGGTAACAAAACAACAATTCACATTGATTTATCTTCAAGAAACTGACCAATACTATAATAATCCTTTTCCAATAAAAATTCAAAAATTTTTTCTTTAAAAGATACTAATCCTATTATAGATTTGTAGTACCCAGGCAAATTGTTAAAAAATCTTTTACCCATATAAGAAGGTGTCCTTTCCACAAGATTTAATCTGTGTATAGGATATTGAAAATCTGTATGATATCTAGTGTTATAATTGTGCTGATTATTTTCACTGTGGAGTTTTTCAAAATTTGATTTCACATACAATAAACGTAAGAACATACAAATTAGGGACGGTTAGAATCTTCAGTTCTTTAAAAAGTTGTTTGCAAGAATGTTTTACGGGTTTAAAAGTCATAATTTTAAGTATTCTTTTTTGAAGTTTAAAAAGTTGATACGAATCAGATGTGACGCCCCAAAGCTCTATTCCATACTGTAAAATTGACGAAAATAAAGCGTGATAAATCATTAGTCTAGTGTTTAAATCAACAACATTTCTTAAGACCAAAATTTGAAAACATACTGAATTTAACTTTTTAGAGGTGTTATGAATGTGATTCTTCCAATTCAATAAACTATCTACATCAATTCCTAAAAATTTAGCTGTGTTGCTAAGATTAATTTTTTCATTATCAAAATAAACAAAGCCTTCAAGATCTTCCCTACACTGTGCAGTTTGAAATTTTACTATTTGTGTTTTAATGTGGTTCATTTTTAAACCGTTTACTTTAAACCATTTTGACAGATCTTGAAGAGCTTGATTCAAGGCTAAACTTAGTTCATGACTGTCTTTTGATTTAATGATGGCTGTCGTATCGTCAGCATATAACAACAAACTAGGTTTAACATTCTTAGGTAGATCATTTATGTACATCAAAAACAATAACGGTCCTAATATAGAGCCCTGAGGCACCCCCATAACAATCTTTTCCCATTCAGAAGCATACTTAATGTTTTCTTTAATAATAACTGTTCTTTGAAAGCGATCGTTTAAATATGATTTCAACCACAAAATAACTGACTCTGAGAATCTATAGGAGGATAATTTATCAAGAAGAATTTGATGGTGTACACTATCAAAGGCTTTGGATAGATCACAGAACACGCCAATAGTGCTCTGTGACCCATCCAAGCTCTGTGTTATTGAATTTACAAAATGAGCCACAGTGGAAGTGGTACTTCGATTTTTCCTAAAACCAAACTGTTCATCAGCTAATAAGTTATTAGATTCCAGAAAATAGGACATTTGATTGAATGCAATTTTTTCAAATATCTTTGAAAAAGAAGGCAGGACAGAAACAGGTCGGTAGTTATCTGAATTACTCTTAGAACCTTTTTTAAATAATGGCTTCACCTCTGCATACTTCAAATGATTAGGGAAAGTGCTATTGGTTAAAGTCTGATTGATGATTATGGACAATGGCTCAGCAACAAACTTAATTACTTTTACGTGACTTATTTTAATTGCAAAAAGTAAATGTTGGCAAAAATTAAACAAAATAAAATATAATACTGTATTTGAGTACAATTAAATAACATAATTTCACTGTCACTTACAGCATTTTCACCCCCTCGGATTTTGTCTATGTTGAAAAAATCTTTCTTATGACAAGATGGGCTCTTATCACATTCAGCTAAGCCTCTTATCCCAACAAATCTGGATGAAATTTAAATTTATGTTAATGTCAAAAGTGTTAACATAAGTTAACTTCTTAAATAACATCTTTGTGAGTCTTGATCGGTCCCTGTAAGTCAGGCACTGGTTTTCTGATTTGTGACTTAAGTTTCACTCTGCAAAAATCATTAAACCACTAAAAACACCATTTACAACTATACTTAATTATAAATGCTTACACATAAATATTCATATAATATTGAACACTTTGTTAAAAAAAAACTTCATCTGTATTGTGGGTTGAAACGTCTTTAGAATGGTTTTTGTTTCTTTATCAGAATCTTGTCGCCTCAAACGGTTCCTTTGTAAATAGTCCATTTAGTTGTGTAAGTGGTATATTGTTAAATTTCACTCTTATTTAGGATTAGGATTATTATGTACAAGGATAGGGATCAGCTAGCTTACCTGGTAGACAGGGTCCAGATAAGCCTTGGTAACACACTTAAAACACATAACACAACACGGAAAACTTCTTTTTAAGGATTGTTTTTTTTAAATAGTCTTCAAGTTATACTAAGAATAGGATATACAGTACCTTTTTTCCAAGGTAAACTTGCTGCTTGGCAAAATATAATATTTGCAACATGCCTAACTTTTACAGTGCCTAAGACCTCCTTGTAAGATAGTAAGTATCCTTGTAAGATAACTTACTTGATTTAATAATAATAATATTTAAAAAATCTAGTGTTTAATTAAACTTTAGGTTTACCCAAAACTTGATACATTTAAAGGGTATTCAATATTGCCTCCAGTTATATCATACAACTGTATCTGTGCAGATAATGAAGGTACAGATCCAGCTGAATGGGCTGAAGCCGTGCAGAAGTCAAGATAGATCAGAGTCTCCGTCAACAAACCACGCTTCCCCCGTCACCTCCCCCACCATGACTAGCTTTCTGCACAGGTACAATTTAGATTTGCTAGTAAAAAGTAAAGCAAAAACCTCATTACTTAAATATCTGGTGTGTTGTAGCCTAGTGGTTAGCGTCTTGAAATTCAGTATGAGAAAGACAGTTTTGATCCACAAAAGATTTGGGAGTTTTGACTGCCTAGGTACTAAAGTGACTCTTTTCGGTCTTTGCAGAAAAAGGGTGAGAGTGTGAAACACATTTAGCCCACGTGAGGCAAAGTGTTGCACATTAATTCATAAGTCTGTGTATTTTTCTTAAATTTATTTTTTAAGAGGTTGGATATAATTGACTGGCAGCCCTTTAAAGGTTTTGTAAGTTCAATTCTGACAAAAGAATAAAATTCAGCAATAAGTAGAAGGTATTAAATTTGTAAGTAATTTTGCTTTATTTGGTAAACACAATTTTACCTGGGAATTTATATACAGGGTGTTTTTTTAAAACTTGCATCTTTTTTTATGTAAAAACCGCAATAGATAGAAATATGCAGTTTGCGGGAATCATCTATTAACGTAGGGGGCACAATTTTTTTGAATTCAACGTTACATTCACATTCCCCCCCCTGTCCCCAACTTATTTTTTTTAAATAGCAAGGTACCCCTTGTAACATATCAAATAAAAGAGCATAAACAAATCTCACAAGTTTATGAACCGATTTTCAATTTTTTTTCATCAAACATTTTCTTTTTTCATGCTCTTTCATTTGATATGTCACAAGGGGTACCTTGCTATTTAAAAAAAAAATAAGTTGGGGGCTGAGGGGGAAAGGGGGGGAATGTAAATGTAACGTTGAATTCAAAAAAATTGTGCCCCCTACGTCAATAAATGATTCCCGCAAACTGAATATTTCTATCTATTGCGATTTTACATAAATAAAGATGCAAGTTAAAAAAAAAACTCCCTGTATATAAACACACCATTTGAACAAGGAAGTATAATTTTTTATGTGCTTTGGTCTCTGTTTTGACTATTTTGATTTTCTGTATGTCAAATGGGCTCTTACTTATTTTTGTAACTAAATAATGAGAATGTTTTCCTGTGAAGTGATCTGAAGGAAAGACTCATTTAAGTGTAAGTACAAAGAAGTAAAATACAGTGTATACATTCTTACGGGACAACCATGTGCTTTTATGTTTGGGGTGGAAATGGACTTGTAACGAGCAAGGAAGAGCTTGAACGTCAATAGCCACATAGCATTTTTGTACAGCAGTTGTAGCGTACAGGGTCTTCCTACAGGGTGAGCGCTTTAGTACGTGATGGCAAAGGGCAAAAGGAGAGCGGAAGAGGACGACAAATAAAATTTGCTCTAGACACCTGCGACTGGTGCTAGACACCACTTAAGTGTACCATTGAATGTATCCTCTGTATCTTACTTATCTGTGGTGTAAAAATGGGGCGTGAATAAAGAACTTGTATAAAACCACTTTTATTAAACTTGTGTTTGAATCTCATATAATGTCCACATGGTGTATGGAACTGTGAATTGAATCTAATCTATTGTATTTGCAGGTTGGCAAAATCAAAAGAAACAAAATCCAAGATCAGTTCACCCACACCTTCTCAATCTTCTGACATTTCTTCACCAAATCACACTCCTAATTCCAAGAAAAGCGCTTCTCCATTTTGTGATATGAAATCTGAGGTAATACTTAAAAAAAATTAATTAAAACAGGTTACTTTCATAAAAAAATAATAAATACTTTTGGACCTAACGTAAGTTACAAAATTAATATTGGGTGTAATCCTTTAATGATAAGGCAATTTCTGTAAAGATTATTCTAGAGACATTCTGTGATATTACAATTTGGTGCTCACATTGAACACATGTAAGCTTTTCAAAAAAACAAAAATAACCCATATAAAAGGGGAGAGGCCGTTTGGTAACCTATTTAGACTCTGGTTAATCAATGGTTGCAATTTAAATTGACTATTGGATACTGAAATAGACACATCCCATCTATAATATAGACCAGCTGTCACTTAGTTTTTTATTAAAAAGAACATAATTTTTTTGAGCCAGTCACAGAATGCGCTAATGTCTAAAATTCTTTTTGTGACATTATTTTTGGTTGGTGACATAGTTTATGATCATAACAGTTGCTTCAGCTCACATTAAGTCATTCCATCAGTTTGACTTGGTAAAAAAGTTCATGTATTTGACAAAAATCTGTAATTTAGGTCAGCACCATCGGTCGGTGGCTCACATCAACTACAATGATTTTGATTAAAAAACTTCTAAACAATTTCTATTATCAATTTATTGCAGGATTTTGTGTTTGTGCCACCAAAACCTCGAAAAATACTGTTGACTGAACATCAGAAAGAAAGCCTGACGACAAGGAAACATGACATCCCTGCATTGTATCAAGATTTGTCCCAAGATAGTTCACAGTCTGCTTTTGAAAGGTCAGTAAACTGTTTTTAGTATCTAGAAATTTAAGTTTCTTACTTGTTTTTACACAATTTCAGTAAACATTGATATCAGGGTACCGGTAGTAAACATATTAAGATATATAATCAAAGATGTCAAATCAGATTGAATCAGAGAATTTATTTATTTAAATGTCTTATCTTTTGGTTCAGTTCAGACAGTAAAAACAAATTTTTTATAAAAGTGTTTCAGCATGAATTGATTCATTAAATAAGGCTGTTAGCGAATGACTTGATTGTTTTGCAAAAGCAAAGGTTTTTCATTGTTTAGGTCATATGTGTGAACCCTAAACAAATTTATGGTAAATCAAGCAAATCTTTAACATTTTGGAATTGGTAGCTCCTACTTCAATTATAGGCTCGTTTTTGCTGTAGCTCTATTTTTTGACAATTGTACATTTTATATGGTTACATGTAGCCTTCTTTCAACCATTTTCACAAGTCAGCTGTTAACCCTATTTACCGAAGAATCCTTAAAATATGGCCTTGAGGTTGACCTGAAACTTGTATTCAACAAATAATATCAAATGCTATAACTAGATAAAAGAGGCATGGTTATCAATGTATTCATCAAGTTTAGAAGTATTTTTTTATATATTTTACATGTATATTGAAATAAAATCTTGATTATGTTTCAGTATAATCACACCTGCTCATGTCGTGGAAAAGGAACAGAAGACAGAAAAGGAACCAGTGTCACACTCTCCTCAGAATTTTAAAGACATAAACTTTACAAGAATGTCACCAAGGAAATCCCAAGCTGCAAACCTAAAATCTCCGACAAAACTTCAAAATAATAAAGAAAATGACTGTTTAAATAATAATACCAAATCGCCGGTTAAGACAAAGGAATCCAAACTTTCTGGAGTAACTGAAGAGATCCCACTGAAAGTTTTACAGGAGGATCAGAAGAAAGTGCAGGATGATGTGTCGGAAGATTTGGCTGTTTCAAAACTAACAGCAACATATCCACAAATGAGACTGAGGAAAAGTTTGAGTAATGATTCAGTAAGCAACCAGATCATAAATGGTGCTGAAGAGGATGCTAAAAATGACGATAAAGTTAAAGATGCTGACAGTGTTCTGGACCGTGAACATATTCAACTTGAGGAAACTGCTAGTAGCAATGAGAACAAATTGAAGGACACCGAACAAAATCTTTCAACTCCAAAACATTCAGTTGAAGATAAAACACCCAAGAGAAGCTTAAGAAAAACTAAGCTTAGTATTTCAATAGAAAAGAGTGGCCAGAGAAGTGGTAAAAGAAGTATACAAAAAGAAGAGACTGAGAAAGATAAATCTACTTCATCAAGTAGTACGAACAAATCACTGAATAGCAATACCACACCAAAGATTTCTCCTAGAAGATTGAGGAACCGCAAATCCGGTGTAACCCCAGTACTTAGTGGAGGGGGATTGATAAAAAAGACGAGGGGCAAAACACAAAGTCCTAAAGATACACCGACAAACAAAAATACAAAAAACAACACCCCTGTCAGTACCAAAAGTGATACATGCATTGAAAACAAAAATTGCAAAGAAATTATTCAAGTTGAAGAAGAAAAACAAAATAATAGGGATGATATTACATCCGACATCAAAAGATTTGACGATCAAGGTCAGTGCGATCCTGATAATAAAGCTGAAAAGATCAAAGTAACTTCTAACACCAACAAGGAAGATTGTGCTTCAAAATCTGTAGCTAAAAACGCGGAAAACCATATTAATGAAAATGAGACTAACGACATTGAAATTATTGCAGTAATCAAAAAAGATAAGGACAAATTAAATGTTAGTCAAAATAAAAAAGGTTCATTTTCTAGAGACTTATTATTGAAAAACCTAGGTTCATCTAAAACTGATGTTTCCTGCCTTGACTTAACCTGCTCTCCTGTCAAAGTGGTGGTTGAACGTCTTCCAGAGATGGGACTCAGTTCTAAGTTTGAAAACCAAGAAAAGAGAGACTCTACAGTATTAAAAACTGACACAGAAAAGCAGACAACCGCTGTACGAAACATTTTGTCATCCTTGTCTGCAAGTAACCACAATCTGAACTGTGGCACCTTGGATGTAAGCTGTAAGTCGGTTCAATCAGAAATCAAAGCAAATATTGAGGATGAAAAATATCAGTCTACATTTGTTCTGGAGCTAGATGAAACACGGAAGGAAGAAACTCGTATTGAATTGCAAAGAGATAATATTGACATCACTTCAAACGAAGACAGTACACCTAGCAAGAAGAAAAACACTACAGAAGAAGTTGACTCAGAAATAAAAACATTAGGAAACTGTAGAAAAACAAGGTCAATTGGTACAGTTGAAAACCCCTCCCCAATTACTCCTAAAGATATACTAGATGAAACACGGAAGGAAGAAACTCATATTGAATTGCAAAGAGATAATACTGACATCACTACAAATGAAGAAAGTCAAAAAGATGGTTCTAACAAGAAGAATAAAACTACAGAAGAAGCTGAATCTGAAATAAAAATTTTAGGACACTGTAGAAAAACGAGGTCAATTGGTACAGTCGAAAAACCCTCTCTAATTACTCCTAAAGATATAATAGACAGTGAAACTACTTCAGAGAAAAAGCCTATTGATGAGGATGATGCTGACCTTAAAAGTTCTACTGCTGAGAAAATGTCAAGTGAATCCACATCCAAAACAATTGAAACAAATATCTCACCTTCCATCTTATCAAAGCCAAAGTCAACTGAATGCACACCCGTGAAGAGCGGTCAGAAGCAGTTGAAGCAAACACAACTTCCTTTCACGCCAATACGCAAAACCAAACTACCTGTAGAAGAAGAACAAACTGTGCCATCAAAATTGGAAGAAGTAGATGGAAAGTCACCTTTATTAGTTCTTAAAAAAATTGAAACATCTGAGACAACCAAAGCTTTGGAAAGTTCAAAATCTAAAACTGAAAATAAGATTATTTCCAATGTTGAAACAATGAGCGTGGAAACCAATAAGTCTCTTATTAAAATAGAAGAAAGGAAAACTGTTGAATGCAAGTCAGCAGATGATGTGATTCCCACAAACAGCATTAAAGGGTCAACTGAGCAAGAAGTTCAAAGAACTCCTGAAAAAGCAAATACTTCAAAAAATGTTAGTATTTGTTTGCAAAAATGTGACGATGCCAGAGTTCCGGCCAGACCAGACTCACCTTGTAAAACAACTGAATCGGAAGACATAATTGCTAGTTCACAAGAGAATGATGTAACAACACAAAGCATCTTGTCTTGTAGGAACTCGAGCGGTTCATTGAAGCTTTTAAGTAAGAGTCCAAAGAAGTGTGATAGTTCATCACAGTCCATCGTAAACAGTGAGAGAGTTTTAAGATCATCTCCTTCAAAGGCAGAGAACACACGGTCTACGGTAACTCCTGTTAAAAAGTCAGTGTGCCGCAGATTGGATGTTGAAATTGAAGAATCACCAGAATATGATGATTTGGCTTGTTTGACTTCTACCATCAAAACAAAATCCTCTGCTAGTGTAAATTTGGAGGAACAGTTATCAGATGACTTTAGACTACTCAATGGAGACTATGGCAATCAGAAAACCACAGAAAATGGTTTACCATCAAATAGAGAGTTGGAAGTGGCTATCGCTTCAGATGATGTTCAGGATGCTATAAACTGCTCTCCCAAGTCACACAAAAGTCCAAATCGAAAACGGATTTTTGTAGAATTGGAAGGTAACATCGGATCTCCCAAGAGGACTATAGGATCACTCAGATTTGAAAACAATAGTAGTCCTGTATCATCACCAACCTCTCGAACAAGTCAAATGATGGAGTTAGCTAAGCAAGACAGAACAGTTTCCTCACCTATTAGCACTAAGAAGCGTAGAGTCCTTCCCATCAGAGTTGGGCCAGCAGCAAGACAAGCGAGGTAAGATTTTAGTTTCACTTTTATTGCATACATAGTAAAGAAATTATAGATATTTACTCAGAAAAGTGGACATGGTTTTCTCATTCATTTACTCACTCAACTCAATATTTATTTACATTTTTGAAAGTAAACACTAACATTTTAATAATTAGAAAACATATGACTTAAATAAAGAAATTATGGTAAAGTCTAACCATTCTCCGCCCCTTGAGATACCCTGTATCTCAAGATCAGTCCGTTGGAATGACAATCAGTTTTGAGATGGATCGTTTGATTATTCCACTTGTCGTTTTTAAGGTGACCACACGTACTATTCCATCAGTTCCTGGATGTACTTCTTCTACTCTGGCAGTGTGCCACTTACATGGAGGAATATTTTCTTCCTTGATGATGACTAGATCTCCGACCTTTAAATTCTTTGTTACCTCCGTCCATTTGCTTCTTTGTTGTAAGTTATTTAAATATTCTAGAGACCACCTCTTCCAGAAATGTTGATTCATTTGTGTTACAAGTGTCCATCTTTTTACGTGATTAATTTTATCACCAGTCAAATCTCGGTTAGGAACTGAGGTTAAAGGAGCAAAAATAAGAAAATGCCCAGGTGTAATAACATTTAAGTCTCTTGGGTCATTAGACATAGGGGATAATGGTCTTGAATTAAGGCAAGCTTCGATTTCAACCAGTAAAGTGGAAAGTTCTTCAAAGTTTAACACTTGATCGCCCATTACTCGAGTTAGGTGAATCTTCATAGATTTAATTGCTGACTCCCACAATCCACCAAAGTGTGGTGATGATGGAGGAATGAAGTGCCAGTTGATACTTCGTCCTTGAGAAAATCTCGAAATTGAATCGGACTTGACAATTTCACGGTGTAGTTGGTTATAGGCACCTTTAAAATTGGTTGCGTTGTCAGAATACATGTCGTTAGGAAATCCTCTTCGACCAACAAATCTTTTGAAAGCGCTCAAAAAGGCATCTGAAGTTAAATCGGAAACTAATTCAATGTGGACAGCTTTGGTAATCAAACAAACAAATAGTGCAACATAACTCTTTAAGAATACTTTTACTCTTCCTCCCATCCTTTTTGTAGTAATAGGACCGGCAAAGTCTATTCCTGTTTTACTAAAGGCTCTTCCAACATTGACTCTGGAGATTGGTAAATTACCCATTATATTGGAAGCTGTTGACGATTTGTACCTGATACATGTTGTACAACTCCGAATAACTGACTTTATTTCATTCTTGATGTTAATAATCCAATATTTTTGTCGTATTACATTCTGAACCAATTGAGTGCCAGCATGTAGATGTCTGATATGTTCATTTCTAATCAGTTTTGAAAAATGATGCTTTCCTGGCAATAACAATTGATGTTTCATGTCAAACGGTATATTTGCATTTGCCAATCTGCCTCCAACTCGCAAGAGACCCTCCTCGTCCAAAAATGGGAATAGATTTTTCAGTTTACTCTTGTTTTTGACATGTCCATGTTTTTTCAGTTGCTTTATTTCATCCTGAAAACATTCTTCCTGGATAAGTTTGACAATTGTTTTTGTAGACTTCTCAATTTCACTGCTGTTTAAAGACTCCTTTTCTCTTTCTTCTTCAGGTTTTCTTGTGTTATTTGTAAATCTCAAGATATAAGCAACAATACATATGATCTTAAAATAGCTTGAGAAGTTCATCAATTTCTTAAGCAAAGTTGACTTTTCTTGGGAAAACAAAATTTGAGTGGATGTTTTTCGTAACTCTGGGATTTCTTTTAAGTTAACATTCATGTTATTTCGAGGCCAACTTGATTTCTCTTCCTTTAGCCATTCCGGCCCATGCCACCAAAGACTAGATTGCTTCAGATGAGAACCAGAAATGCCTCTAGTAGCCAAATCAGCTGGGTTTTCAAACGAACTAACATGATTCCAATTTGAAGGCGGAATAGTGTCTTGTATTTCTGACACCCTGTTAGCAACAAACGTCTTCCATTTATTTGGCAACTGAGACAACCAACACAAAACAATTGTGGAATCAGACCAAGCACAACACTTATTTACATCAATATTCAGAGAAAAGGCAACCTTACTTATTAATTGAGAAAGAAGCAAGGCACCACAAAGTTCTAATCGTGGTAAGGAAATTTGTTTGGTTGGGGCAACTCTTGTTTTGGAACAAAGCAAATTAACATTTACCTCATGATTGGTTGAATTAGATCGCACATACACGCAGCTAGCATAAGCTTTCTCGGATGCATCACAAAATCCAATAATTTCAATACTTTCACGTAAGTAATTGTGAGTTGTGACTTGTCTTGGAATGCACAATTTATTGATAGTTAACAGCTCACCTTTGATTTGATCCCATTGTTTTGCTATGTCTTTACTCACCGGCTCATCCCAAGTTAGTCCAGTTAACCACAGTTGTTGTAGCATGATTTTTGAAACTATTACTAAAGGACTTATTAGTCCCAGTGGATCAAATACACTTGAAATAGCCCTCAGAATTTCTCGTTTGTTTAAACTAGATTTATTTTGAGTTGTGACATTGATGTTTATTTGAAACATGTCTGATTTGGGTTCCCACGCAACTCCTAAAGTTTTAATAGGTTTACTCTCTTCTAAATCTAAGTTCATAGCACCAACCTCTTTGTCCTCTTTTGGTATCCTGTCTAGTACAGCAGAACTATTGGAACACCACTTACGTAGTTTGAAACCTCCTGAACGTAAAAGTTGATCAAGTTCTTCCTGTAACTGTAGAGCAGTCTTGTCATCATGACACCCGGTTAGTAAGTCGTTCACATAGAAATCCGTTCCTGCAGCAGCGCAAGCTGTAGGGAATCGTGTCTTCTCGTCTTCTGATAACTGTTTCAAACACCTAGTAGCTAAGAAGGGAGCACTAGAGGTGCCATATGTTACTGTTTTCAGTTTATATATTTTGACAGGCTCATAACTGTTTGTCCTCCACAATATTTGTTGAAACTTACAATAATTTTCATCAACTAACACCTGGCGATACATTTTCTCACAGTCAGCAACCATAAGTATTTCATGTAGTCGGAAACGTGTTAGGATGGAAAACAAGTCCTGCTGGACGTTTGGACCTACCATAAGTGTATCATTCAAAGATACCCTTGTGCTTGTAGGACAGGATGCATTAAAAACCACTCTCAGTTTGGTTGAAGAGCTTGACTCCTTTATTACTTCGTGATGAGGTAAGAAACAAATTGTTACGTTACCTGTGGTGGTTACTGATTCACTGAAATTTAGCTTCCCTGTTAGTTCCATGTGTCCTAGTTTCAGATACTCCTGTAAGAAACTATTATACTGATGTTTTCTCTCGGAATTTAATGACAATCTTTGTTCAACTTTTTTGAAACTACCCAAAGCTATGTGTTGTGATTTTCCTAACTCATTTAGACGTTCATTGAATGGTAGTTTTACAACAAAGCGTCCAGATTCATCTCGTTTGACATTTTCCTTGAAATGTTGCTCACAATATTGTTCCTCTTTAGTGAGAACAGGATCAGTAACAACTTGCTCGATTTCCCAGAATCGCTTAAGTTGACTCTCAATAGTCAAATTGCAAGTTGACTCAGTCTCATTTGGGCACTGCCCACACCTACCAGCAACAATCCAGCCCAAAACACTATTGTGAAGAGTAGGTGTTTGTTTGGTACCTGATATCTTTCCTTCAATGATAAGGTCGAAGTAAACTTCTGCTCCCAATAGCATATCGACTTCACCTGGGTTGTAGAACTCCGGGTCTGCCAGGACAAGTGTAGAGATGTGATGAGACCAGTTGGTGTGGTTAATAGTCTCAGCGGGTAGTTTAGTGGAGATGGTTGGCAAAACTACTGCTGAAATGTTGGTAAAATACTCGCTAACTCTTGAAAAAAGATTTAATGATACTCGTTTTGATGCTCTTGTTTTCGATTGCCCTATACCATTAATAGTTATTGAAGAGTTTAAAAGTTTTAAGCCAAGTCGATCAGCGCATGACTTAGTTATAAAGTTAGATTGTGCACCTGAATCAAGTAGTGCACGCACTCTTACATGTTCTCCTTTATTATTCTCGATTAGGACTATAGCATTCGACAGCAAAACTTGTGATGATGACATTGGTTCCTCTGCATTACTTAGATCAACAGATTTAGATGCAAACCCTTGTTCAGACGCATTATGACTAGCCGAGATAGATGTTACTTTATTCTTGTCACATGTTTTGCCAATTTCCTTTTTCAATTCAATATGAATCATTGTGTGATGGTTTCGGTTACACAGTTTGCAAGTAGAACCATTGCAATCAGTAGCAGAATGATTGGGTTTTAAACAATTAAAACATAATTTACGCTTTTTGACAAGATCTATTCTGTCAGATACACTCATGCTACTAAATTCGTCACACTGATAAATTGCATGATTAGGTTTTTCACAGATTACACAAACATGAGTAAAAGAAGACTTTCCCCTTGCTTGGTTAAACGACCCTTTACTTTGCATACCTCTATTATTAGAATGACTAATGTTAGATGCAGATGTCTTAGATATGCTTGAGGATGCCAAGGCATTAGTTCTTTGGATAAGAAACGATTTTAGCTGCTCAAAATTAGGACTATCCTGTGTAGTTAAGGACATTTCCCATTGTTTTCTAGTCTCACTATCTAATTTGCTAGTTAGAATGTACACAAGTATGCTATTCCATTCACCTACATTTTCACCTAACGACTTTAGAGCCCTAATATGGGTTTCAGATTCATCAACTAATTTTCTAAGTCCTTGTGAAGACTCATTTTGTAAAGGTACTTGACTGAATAATCCTTTTAGGTGAGAATTTACAATCAGCCTTTTGTTGTCATACCTGAGCTTTAGAATGTCCCAGGCCTCAAAATAGTTTTGATCTGTAGACGGAAGTGACTGCAATAGTTGGTGTGCCTCCCCTTTTAGACAAGATTTTAGATAAAATAGCTTTTGGATGTTTGGAAGCGACTGGTTGTCATGGACAATAGATATAAATAACTCGCTGAATGAAGGCCATTCCTCAATATTCCCATTAAATGATGGTAGATGTAAATTAGGTAATTTGACTTGAGAAATAGGGTCAACTGAAACACTTTGTTGAATAGAATTAACCGAAGGAACAGGAACTAGATTAGGGACATTAGTTTGATATTCACTTAGTAAATTTAATAATTTAGCTTTAGTTGCAAAATAATCATTTTCAAAAGCTCCTAAAATGTCATCATTAGCTTGTTCCTCATCTATACTGCTAATTTCTTCATGAATTTGAAGATACAGATCAAATAGTTTATCAAGCTTTTCTTGCCTTACAATCAGGTTTGCCCTATCTGTACTGGTAATACTCACATTTTCTAGGTAGGTATTGATTCTGGTAAGGGATGATTTCACTGTACTCCTCTGTTTTAATAATGTTGTTACTCTTTGCTGGCTCATATTGCGTGGCGTAGAAGGACCATAAAGAAATTATAGATATTTACTCAGAAAAGTGGACATGGTTTTCTCATTCATTTACTCACTCAACTCAATATTTATTTACATTTTTGAAAGTAAACACTAACATTTTAATAATTAGAAAACATATGACTTAAATAAAGAAATTATGGTAAAGTCTAACCACATAGCAAGAGTGGTTTCAATCATATTATTTATGTTCTTGTTAATAATAAAATTATTTAATCATTCTACACCAAAGTCTAAAACCCTGATGTTATCTTAAAAACATGTTTGTGAGCCAGTTACATAGACTTGAAATCCTTGCAATGATGTATGTTCACTTCCTAGTGCCACAATTGAATATCAGCATTGCTTATTCTTTTGTTCTACAGACTAATCCATTACTTTTCTTGATACAGACCTGATGCCAATTTAGACGGACAAAAGCAAAATCAAAAGAGAGCACAGTATTGTGATATAGGTAGGCTACAAGAAACCATCCCTACTATTTTCAGACGAACAACTGCTGGTTGAGACCACAATGTTTTTCTCGGTAAACTGACACTCCATTAAATCCAATCTCTCTAGTGTCACAAAACTGAATTCAAGTGGCTAATGTAAAACCTCCTGGAGGCAGCTCAGACTCTCAACTTAATTATTCCCAAAAGTAATTTATTCTATCACACGGTATTAAGAACAATCATATACAATTAAAATTTCTTTGATCAGATTCTACAAACTTAACTAGGGATGGACGAGATTGGATTTTTAATTCATTTTGAGACGAGATCGAGACGGGATTTCCCTTCTCATACACAACGGGAAATGCACGTTCAACATTTTTACCTGATTTTGTAACATTGTTAGATGACTGTTTAAATACAGAAATCATAATAATAGGCAAGAATATTTAAAATATTTTATTAAAAAACATCAACATAAAAAAATGTACATTAATTACACATAACTTATGCTTACGATTAGGATCATGGTGATATCAGTTAGGATAGAGTTAAAACTTATCCTAAAATAAAATAAATCATAAAATAAAAGCAATAATAATACGTATATTATAATTACATGTTTTGGCTTTTTTATAGTAGTAAAACATGCCTCACACTGCTTACACTTAACAAAACCTCTCAAATGATAAAACAATTAAAGTAATATTTACATGTAAAGAATTAATTAAATAAGAACGCCTTCGCAAAGGAAACGCAACTACGTGCTCCTGTGTTGCGGGTATTGCATTGACTTTCTGCATGTGTTTTAATTTTTTTTTTGTCTTGAACTAACAAGTCGTCTCGATCAAAAAGAAATCTCGTCTCATATAACGAGGTTTAAAATTTCCCGGAATTTTGAGTAGACCATCCCTACACTTAACTCTTTTACTCCAAATCCCTTTTAACAGAGCTTGCCCCGTACAAACTCCCCGCAAAAGGGCCTTACCTTAAGAGAGAGTAACAAATACTCACTGAACCTCCTGCCCTGGCTGGGTGACCCCATTCCTTACCTCGGGTGGCCTGTTTGTTTATTGAACTAGACTGCTACTGAGTGCAAAGCCCTCAGTGTTGTAACTATCTCCAGCACGCTTTCCTGCTTGCCTAGCCTACCCTCCATTACAGTATTGTCTTGTAGTACAGGATCGCAACCTTGAATCAGGATCAGCTCCCTCAAACATCCAGGCTTACTGGCTGTCATAACTTTATGGACTCTGTAAATAGTACAAAACATTGGGTAATAATACCCAATTCAGACGTACTTGTACACTTTTAAAACATAATCATATTTTTTCATCCTACGGAGAAACTTGACCTAATAACTTTACTTGGAGTTTGACAGGCTTAAATGAGGATTTGGATGGGTTTTTTTCAGCATTCAGCGAACACACAGTGGGCCCAGTGAAGAGTGGGTGCGACGCACATACTCTCCGACAGCTAGTCCGAACAGTAGTATCCTGAAACGAACTCATCAGACTCCACAGCTAGTCAGCCCAGACTCTTCACCCCCCTCGTCCAAGGTAGAAATCCTTTAAGGAAATTATAACAGACAATCTATACAAAAATTATATAATGTTACTTAGTGGTAAGTTGGTGGCTCAGTTAGTAGCGTGACGGACATTTGTCATTATAGTCCATTCTTGTATTGAACCTCTATTTGGACAGGCAAATGTAAGGCTATAAGAGGTCCCTAAAATCTTATTCCAAAGGAAGTGGAAACAAGAGATTATTTGTTTGGTGCTTCAGGGTGTCCGGCAACCAAGAAAACCGTAAAAAGCGGGAATTATACGGGAATAGTATGACCTGGGAACTATGCGGGTATAATACGGAAATTCTGTAATTAAGGCACTAATGTGCGGGAATTTTCTGGGATCGATTTTTTATTTGAAATATTCAACAATTATTGAGAGTAAAAGTTGAGGGTCAGAACACACGTGTTCCGGCGAAAACTATTTTGCCGGAGCCGGCGACAATAAATAGACTGTGATGAACTCTGAATGAGATTTGTCTTACACTAGTACAGTTCTAGTACAGTTTAGTCTTAGAAATGGTGCTGTCAAGACCTCAAACGTTGGCCTTGCTGTGTTTGATCCACAGCAGAAGGAAGAGAAAACACCACCGAACTGTTTGGGTACATACTATTCTGGAGAACAGAAAGCTACATGGAGCTTTTTACACTCTATTTTTCAGTTGAGAAATGAAGTAAATACGTTTTTTTAATTATTTTCGAATGTCTGTCTCATTGGACGAGGTACTATTGAAGATTACAGTGCAAATACAAAGACAAAACACATACATGGGACGCTGGAAAGGCTGGATTCAGTGCGGCACAAATTTGTCGCTAGCTGCCGCTGTTTCTCGTTTTGTTTTTGTCTTTGCAAACTTCCAAAGACCTATCACAAAGTTCTGGTTTCTCATGAACCAAACTATGAACCATGTGTGTAAATCCATATCAACATCTACCATGATGATATAGAAAACTAAACAGACTAAAAATAAAAACTAAATTAACTAAATAGCAAAACAAAACTAAATACACCACTTGGACACTGCATTAAAATCATAAACAACCACCACTCTCGAGGGTTGAACCACGACTGAGGAGTAGGGGTAGTGGCATTCCGGCTGTTTCGCCGGTAAGTGTGTTCATCTCCATAAGGCACAATGCCCCGCTACCCACTGCTTCGGCGAAACCCCGGCGAGGTAGAGAATATCCGGCGGTTTCGCCGGAGCATTTCCCCGCCGGATCGGCAGATTCGCCGAACCGGAGAAGTGTGGCCTGCCTAATGCCTTCCTGTGTATCTCAACTTGCTCCGGCGCCGCCGGATCCGGCGTCTGGCGGTTTCGCCGGTAAGTGTGTCCCTGGCCTAACATGCCTAAATACCTTTGTACCCTCGTCACTGACCCTTGAAAATTCTTTAACATACCTACATGTACAAACAGTGTTGTTTATGTCATTAAAATGGTATTTTACTAATTTCTCACATCATACAAGAATTTTGCTCGTACTGAACAGGTTATAAAGATAGAAAAAATGTTTAAATTGCTACAACTGTCCACTAAGGTTGGAAAAAAGGTGTTATTGCTTAACAGCTTAACAGTGTAGTTTTCTGTGGAATTTGTGATATCAATTGTGTTAATATTTAATTTAAATACCAGCATTGATTTAATTAAAGTTTTGTGTGTCATGATCTGTTTTGCGTGTGATGTTGATGTTGACATAATAAAACCTGGCAAGCCTGGTATTCGCCTCTCGCAGGGTTAACTGCTACGCGCTAAGGCACTAATAGCAACTTCGATTCGATTCGTTTTATCGTAAGAGCCAGAAACCCTTCGATTTCAAACACGGTACCTATAACTAATCATACCCGGGCCCCATGATGTAGGCCGAAGCACATGCACCAACCTTTGGCACATCATGGGAGGATGACTGAAGGTCATCAGGCTCACCGGCTGCCGAAGCAACCCTTCGGAGAGAGGGTTTCCCCTCAATCCTAACCAGGGATACCGGCTACTTGTTTAAGCGTCACTCCACCTAGAATTCACCTGGTACGAAACCCTGAAGAATCGCAATGGAGCGCCCTGACACATTTAGTGCAAGCAACACTCGGGACCTATCCAATCCCTGACAGGCCAAGACCCGCCATCAAAGCCAGGAGGAAGGGGACCCCCTCCTATTTGCACCACTAATACCTACTAATAGCAACTACCGCAACTCATAATTTGTCACTCGAGGTCACCCTTTCCCAACGGCCACCTAATCGCTACCCCAGCTAGAGGCCTTACCTCTTCTACCACATAGATGGGCTTTGTCTAGTGGTGATGTGCGCATAAGTGGTTTTGCGATTTGCGTGCTTGCGTGATATGTGCACCCTTTTTGTTCGTATTGCATATAAAATATATTCAATTTGATAAACTTTTGCTAAATTTACCCTAAACAAAATGCCTCGAGAAAAATGAAAGTTACTCGGGAAATATTTGGGAGTTTGGCCGAGCCCATTTGCTGGACACCCTGTGCTTGTATTTTCAGGGTAAACGATCAGCTACAGAGCCGACTGGGTCGAAATTTCACTCAGAGGTTGCACATGACCAACCCATAGGTTTATTCATGTCTTAATAATCTAGCCATACCTTGACATCCCAAGTTTTGTGTTGGAAGTATTCATTGTTCTGTATAAAAGAAGAATAAGTCAAATAAACAGTGTTTACATTTGCAATACTGTATTTCTTCTTCTCAGTTTAAATAAAAAAAAGTCTTCTCTTCTGTCACATAGAGATTTTCATTAAAGTGTTTCTGCTAATTTTTTTTCTATAATTAAATCCTATAATTTTTGTGTTATGTCCTGATTTTGAAATTGAAAATTAAGGTGAAAACATTGAAGAGAATCATGTTAATAGATCTTGTTTGTTATATGTGTTGGTGGGTTAGTATTCTCTATAGTAGATTTAAATAACCAATCTGAAGTGTTTGTATTTTTTTGTTTTTGCAGAAAAAACGAGTCAGTTTTCTGGATCCTCCTGTATCGGAGAGCCTGTTGTTCAGTAAAGTCAATCCTGGAATAGGTCATGTCCAGAGAACAGAGTCAAGACAAGGCAAGTTATTTAAAATCCTTAAAACATTTGTAAACTCTTCTAAAAAAAAGTTTAAAAACATATTTGTGTACTGCTTTACTTTTGATTTCAGTAATTGCACTACAATACTTTTATTACACTCCACAATTTATGTGTTTATTCCTTTATACTGCTTAAAACTTGGAAGTTACTTGTATTTTTTAATTTTAATTTTTGGTTAAGCAGTAAACACTAATTAAATAAAATCTATCATCAAAAAACTAAATACACTAACCCTGCTAAGTAAGATTGTAAGTTCTGGAAATATGCTACAATTCTAGACTGAAATAAACTCTCTTTTAAATATTTTTTCAACAGATGAGTCAAGAAATTGTATCTATGCTTTCTTTTATTCAAGTTGATAAAATGTAAAACCACCAAAAATCTTAAAAACACCTAATTAAAAAAAGAATGTCGTGGACATTTGCTTTTGACACTGCAATTCATTGAAACGTTTCCAGTTGATTAAATATTTCCATATATTTTTGTTTTAGTTTCACCAACCTCATATTAATTTCAGATGGGTTGATGGATTTTGAAAGTGAGGATGTTCCTACTCAAGGCTCCCTAGAAGTGGAGGTGCCAGAATTCTCAAAGTCAGAGGCTGAGGTCTTCTCACCCTTGAAGCAGTGTAGTAGTCCTCTCACCGATATTCTGGAGAGGATAGCCAACCAACAGTGGTAAGTGAACTTGGCAAATCTTAGATCTTTATATTTGGAATCAGAAGCATGGCTAATTTGTGTTTTACTCTGATTTTGAGGTTAAACTGAAGGTGAACACTGAAGAGGAATTTGGATTGAATGTTGTCAATTGATCTTGTTTTTAGTTGTAAAAACATCTAACAGGATAAAGGATGTGTAATTCATTGCTCCAGTAAAATAAAATAAATGTTAATAGTTACATTTAGATTCCGTGGAAAGTAATCAGCAACAGCAGTGTGAGATATGGATATGAAATTAATTTGTTTTATTACTTCATTGGATTAAAATAAGATAAGGACATTTTTATGATGAATAAGGCCGATTGAGATGTGTCATTTCTATGAACTATGCAATTCAATAGTTGCTAGTTGAGTTGCTATTAAAAGATTTCTTGTACTGCAGAACCTCTAGCTGTTGCTTGTTCTGAACAAATCTAAACTATAATTAACAATCACTCCACGTACCTACAAATGAATAATTCATTGGCTGTCTGTGAAATCCTTAAATTTGAATCTAGCCCTTAAAGAAATTCCATAATACACATTATAAATGCTAATAAAGTTAATTTCCAATAGGACAAAAACAAAACCTTTTGTGTGAGTGCATGGCCTAGGGACACATGCTTTGAGTTTTTTTTTTTTATAGATTTAAATAGTCTGGAACATGTCATATGATCAAATCAAATCAAAAATAATTTATTCCACACAAAAAATATGTTACAAAAATTATAATATACATATAAAGGATGGTACCCACATAGGCAAAACATGTGCGTGGGGAACTAGTTGTATCAGTCAATTTACTACAGAATATTTGATGTCCATTCAACTTATAATAAATTTACAATACTTTATACTACTCTATATACCGATACATAATTAAAAAGGAAAAACACTTTCACCAGGGGGCTACAGCAGATAACATAACTTAAAACCTCATGATGAAAAATTAACAGTTAAAAAGGATAAATAAGGTGAAAATAAAAATATATAAGAAAGGATTTAATAATACTACTAGATGACCCATGCTGCTCCGCTGCGTTAAAATAATTATTATATCCGAGAAATAATCAAATTTATAATTTTTGATTGAATAATACAGTATCTTGAGCTTAACTGATTCAAACTATCATTATATCAAATTAAAGCCTAATTTACTGATTATTTTGTGTCTAAAAAATATAGAAAAACATTAACAATACTGGAGCTATTGATTTTTAACCATATTAAAACCTTATGAAATATAATTTTTATATTGGTTATTCACCTTGCGTTTGCTTGAAACTCGTCCGATTTGAATAGCTAATGGCTTAAATGAAAAAGTAAAATATATAGGATTATAAATGTATAACTGGTCAAGGTACATCTTAAATTGAAATAAGAATTATGGAATAAATCAAATTATGTGTTCTGGTCGTGTAATTATGAAGGTAAATATTTGTAGATGATTGATGGCAAATACCTTCAATGCATACCTTCAATTCGAGACCTCAATCATGAAAATCGGTCTGGTAGAAGAGTCAAACGAACTTGGCAAAGAAAAACCAAATTTAACTTCCATAAGAAATACATGGGAAGCGAATTTCGTTTGTGTATACACCGAGTGCAATAATAGATAAATATATACCAATGCTTTATGGCAAATCTGTGCGTGCATACCTTCAATTTGAGACCTCAATCATCAAAATCGGTCGGGCAGAAGAGGCAAACGAACTCGGCACAGAAAAACCAAATTTAACTTTCATAAGAAATACATGGGGAACAAATTTCATTTGCGTATACACCGAGTGGGATTATAGAGAAATATATGACGCTGCTTGATTGCAAATCTGAGCGTGCATACCTTCAATTTGAGACCTCAATCATGAAAATGGGTCGGGTAGACGAGCCCAACGAACTCGGCAAAGAAACACCAAATTTAACTCCCATAAGAAATACATGTGGAGCAAATTTCGTTTACGTATAGGCCGAGTGGGATTATGGATAAATATATGCCGATGCTTGATGGCAAATCTGTGCGTGCATACCTTCAATTTGAGACCTCAATCATGAAAATCGGTCGGGTAGAAGAGCCAAACGAACTCGGCAAACAAACGCCAAATTTAACTCCTATAAGAAATACATGGGGAGCAAATTTCATTGACGTATAAACCGAGCAATACTATAGATAATTATATGCCGATGCTTGATGGCAAATCTGTGCGTGCATACCTTTAATTTGAGACCTCAATCATGAGAATCGGTCGGGTAGAAGAGCCTAACGAACTCGGCAAAGAAAAACCAAATTTAACTCCCATAAGAAATACATGAGGAGCAAATTTCGTTTATGTATAAACCGAGTAATACTGTAGATAATTATATGCCGATGCTTTATGGCGAATCTGTGCGTGCATACCTTCAATTTGAGACCTCAATCATGAAAATCGGTCGGGTAGAATAGCCAAACGAACTCGGAAAAGAAAAACCAAATTTGTTTAATATATAAGATTATTAAATAGTAGTGAAATTAATTTGTTAAATGTTAAATGTTAACTGATGTTAAATGTTATGTTAAATAACATCATTAAGGCCCAGCGCACACGGTGTGACTGTTTTACAACAACTGTTGCAAACAAGTTGCACCTGAAACCAGTTTGCAACTGAAACAAAACTTCTGTCCGCACACGGTGTGACTGTTTTACAACTACAGTTGCGTCTATTGTACAATCAGTGGAGTGTCAATTTAGTGTTGTTACGTTGTTTTAAGGCCTTAAGTGCGCTTACTATGTCAGTCTCAGACGAAGAAGACGTTATTAGCTATTATCAATACCGAAGACAGCGAAGGGTACTGAGAGAGCATTGGGTTCACCCTTATTTGAGCAAGAATGTTAGTACTAGGCTGTTTGTAGACATAGACATAGACTTTATTTGCACAAAACATTCCATACATGTCATAACATTTAGAATAGGTGCATTGTCAAAATTAAATCCATACATAAAATATTTAACATTAAAACTTTTAACTTCAAATCAAACACTTAAAAAAAATATTCTAAATTGTAGTTCTGTAAAAATCTTCAATTAAGTAAAAAGCCTTGTCAATAAGAAAATTATCTATTGTATCTTTAAATTTGGTTCTGCTTAATGACTCATAGCATGGCGGAAGCACATTGTACAATCTCAGCCCAGCGTACAATGGAGATTTTTCATATAGGGTCAAACGGTGTCTGGGGAGTCTAAAAATATTTTCATTTCGGGTTTCATACCTGTGATTAAAATGTATTGTTTCTGGTAGCTCATTTTTAACTGAATGTATGTAATTTAATAATTCTAGAATATACAACCCCGTTAATGTATGAATTCTTAAATTTTGAAAATGTTTCTTACAAGAACTGCGTGGATGAGAGTTGGTAATAATACGAATAATACGTTTTTGTTACCTGAATAAAGTTTTAATACCAATAGCTTGACCCCATAAAATTATGCCATATCTTAACTCTGACTCCACATAAGCATGATAAACTACTTTAAGTGTCTCAATAGAAACACAGTCCCTTAAATGTATGAATAAAGATGATATCGACCTAATTTTGTTACGTAAATAATTCAAATGTGAATCCCATTTAACTGCGTCATCTACGTAAACCCCTAAGAATTTATGAGCTTCAACTAAATTAAAGGAACAGTTTTCCATATTTTTGTGTCTAGTAGAAAATTTAATAATATTTGTTTTTTCAACATTAAGTTTTAACCCATTTTCTAAAAACCATTGCTCCATGTCCTTTACCACACTTTGCAGAGAAGAAAACATTTCAGTTGTATTATTATTTTTGATCAAAGCAGTGGTGTCATCGGCAAAAAGAATTAGTTCTTTATTAATAGCTTTTGGAAGATCATTAATGTAAATAAGAAAAAAAAGTGGGCCCAATACTGAGCCTTGGGGAACACCTGTGGATATAATTTCCCATGGTGAATGATGTTTGTTGTTATCTTCTAAAATTAAAGTTCTTTGTTCTCTTTCAGAAAGGTAAGATTGTATTAAAGAAAAGCAACTTCCCCCAATCCCATAATCAATAAGTTTCAGCAACAGGAGTGAGTGATCCACACAATCAAAAGCCTTAGACAGGTCACAGAAAACACCTGCTGTGGCCTGAGACCTGTCCAAGGCCTCTGCAATCTCATAACAACCTGAGTAAGAGCAGAAACTGTGCTTAAGTTTTTTCGGAAACCAAATTGTTTATTGTAAAATAAATTATTACTTTCGAAATAATTAACTAGTCTATAGCTTATTACTTTTTCAAATATTTTAGAAAAATTACTTAACCTCTTGGAGTCCGGTTTTAGCTATGTCAGTGATTTACTGCAGTCCGGGTTTTTTTCGATGAAAATGTAGATACTTTTTTAAAAATTTGTATAAAATCAGTAAATAGTGTAAACATATCAATATATATATTTATTTTGTTTGCAATGAAGAGAGAAATCAGAAAATAACATAAAAAATTAAAAGTTTTAGAGTTTTTTTTGTTTTTTTTTTAAAACAAAAAAAAAACCAAAAAATCGAACATAAATTTCAAAAGTAATGGTTCTGTAAAAGTACAAATTATTTGATATTAAAAATCTATTATATACATCTGTTAGACAATTTAATTCCTTACATAGAAATATATACAACAACTAAAGAATACTATATTTTACACGAGCTATGTTCAAAAAAACGAAAAAGCGTAAATCGCAAAAATGTGACTTTGCACGCCATTTATTGTAATTTAGAAAAATAATTTTGAAAATTTATAAAAGCTGGTAGAAAGTTACATTTTGTAATCTAATGTTATAATTTAACTTATAAATCGTGTAAAGCACATAAACACACATATATATATAATATATATATATATAGTAGGCTATATGTTTGCAATGTCAAGGTGGGAACAGCAGCTTTGATATAAAATTATGTTAGGCTGAAGCCTAATTTGTACCAAGCCTACTACAAAATCATATGTAAAATAAATAAAACCCAAGAAAGAGACATTCAACTTACTTTCTAAAATTGTTGGAGTGTGTGGTAGTCCTTCATGCAAGGGTACACACAAAGAGGAACGCCGCATTCAGTACACATGTACGGTGTGTCCTTCCTTTTCTGGGGCCTAAGCTTAGTGTTTGAACAAACATGGCAGTAGCGACGAGGTTTCAACTTTTTATCAGTTGGTGGGATTGGTGTGAGGAAATGTCGTTGGGTGAGACGGAGCGGAATCTCGCCTTTTGATGGTCGCCCACCTTGAATATTGGTTCTCATCACACAGTGATGTTCTAAAATCTGCCTGACGAGCTCCCTGCGATAATCTGATAGCTGCAAATTCTTGTTTCTTTTTTGGACTTCATTGTGCAGAATATATGAATTTCTGATTGTTACGTCCAAGAAGTGGAAAAAAAGTTTCTTGTACCACTTGATACTTTTTCTTGCAGAACAGTTGAAGGACAGTTGCATATCACCAATATCGATAGCCCCCATGTTTTTGTTGTAGTCCACCACTGACAAGGGCTTTTTGATTTCCTCCCCAGTTTCCCAGTTGTTTTTCCCTATGCCAATCATGTCGCTGGTATGCATCGTACTTAGCATCCTAACCTCTCTTTTGTCTTGCCAACGTAGGTACATCATATTTTCTGTACAATGTACATCTGTTTTACCTACATCTAAGGGGGCTAGTTTTTTTGGTAAACCCTGTCGATTGGGATTGACTGTTCCACACATGTTTGTGTTGCGCTTCATCAGTTCCTGAGCTAGTGACGGTGAAACGTACCAATTATCCAAAAACAATTTATGCCCCTTATCGAAGTAGGGTTCTGTTAGTGTTAGCACCACTTGCCCCGTCATGCCTACTTTTTCTTTTAATTCTGCAAACTCAAGTTCCGTTTCTGATCCTAAATAGGGAAGGATGTTCAAAACATAGCCTGTTAGACAGTCTGAGATCACAAACATTTTGATTCCAAATCGTGCTCGCTTTGAAGGAATGTACTGTCTAAAGGCTAACTTACCCTTATAGAGAAATAGCGTCTCATCTATCGCCAGTTTTTCAAAGGGCTTGAATTTAGATGCAAACATTTTGTTCAACGTACATAAAATTGGTCGAATTTTGTGAATCCTGCCAATTGATTTAGGATTGGGCACAAAAAATTGGTTGAAATGAAGGGTTTTCAATATATTTTTGAAACGATTCCTACTCATAACCTGCCCAAAGATCTTTGTTTCCAGTAGTGAATCTGTAGACCAATAATCATTTATTTTATTTTTTCGGACCTGAGACATTAGAATACACAAGGCGAGGAAGCAGAGAATCTCATCCTCGTCAACCGGTTTCCATGTACTTAGCTCGTCAACAGAAGCATAATTTGGGAGTTTGGTAATTACATCTGTAAAATAAGAATTAGTTTCTGATACAATATGAGTTATCAGTTCCATGGTAAAAAGCTGTAAAAACATTTCTAAATACGACGATCCTTTAGGTATGTCATTATCGATTCCGGATGTTGTGTTGTCAAATTCAAACAATGTGGGAGAGAATGTCTGGTTTGACTTCCACGGGAATGTTATTTCTGGCTTCTTATTCCCTTTATTTCTCTTTTTTTTAGCTGCAAGCACAGGCCTAGCAGGTCTACCTGTTCGTTTATTATTACGCCTAGGCCTAACTCTAATATTAGTCACAGGCCTATCTGTAGTGTTATGCCTATGTTCCTCAGCAGTAAGTGAGTCTAAGCCTATCATTGCATCATCTTCAGCCTCATAATTTTCTTGGTCAGCAACTAGTCCTGGCATTGTTGTTTCACTCTCATTTTCATCTACATCCATATATACAAGGTCTTCTTCATCAACAACTAACCCTAAGTTTGCATCATTTTCATTCTCAGAAATAGGCCTAACACTATTTTCTTCAAAAATATTCTCTATGGTACTAAGCATGTAGTTGTCCTCAGGTAGGCCTAAATCATAATCATTGTTACTTACATTATTTACACTATTTACATCATTTGGGTCAAAACAACTCGGGCCAGGAATGGAATCGTCGTAGAGGTTAGTTGAACTCGATGCATCTCCTGCAGGTCCAGGAACACTTGTCGCCGTAGATCGTTGATGAGAATAAATAAACCCCTCTTCACTGTCACTTTCACCGTCCGATAAATCACTAAAATCATCTCGAGACAAATATTCTGATATTTCATTGTCCCGAAGTTTGTTAGATCGCGAATCCATTACACAATGTTTACCAAAACACAAACAAAAACAAACAACTCGCGTACGTATTATTGAGTAACACTAGTGACAGCTGGGAGCGGAACGAAAACGATTCAGAACTAGCAGTGATGCAAGACTAATAGAACAAAACAAAATATCCCATGATTCCCTGGATTCCCCTGAACAGATCAATACTAAACACAACGTATTAGTGTAACAGCTGACAGCAAAAAAGAGCACGAAAATAACAAGTTGACGTCAGCTCGCATATGTGCGGGCGTGGACCGCTGGCGCGACAGTCGTCTGCTCGCATATATGCGAGCGTGGACTCCAAGAGGTTAATACTGATACTGGACGGTAGTTATTATTATCTGATTTTGAACCTTTCTTAAAAACGGGAGAAATTTGGGAGTACTTGAGTTTATCCGGAAAAATACCATTCTTTAAACACTTATTTATAATAAGAGATAAGGGTTCGGAGACGCTAGTTGGATAGGAAATTATAAACACTAAAAACACTATACGGCCGTCAAAATACCACCAAAATACCACCAAACACCACAAAACACCCCGTGGTCTCGTGCAACTGAAGTCTGCAACGCAACTGCAACGTCGGGCCCACGGTTGTATGCAACTGGTTTCAAATGTTTTTTGAAATCACATACAACCAGTTGCGTCGTGTGCGCTTCCCCACTGCAATACATTGCCGAGGTCACAAAACAGTTGCACTCGCAACTAGTTTGCAACGAAAGTTGTAAAACAGTCACACCGTGTGCGCTGGGCCTTGATGTTTGGTGTTTCGATCCCTCTATCAGAGGTAAAGGTTATTTTCATTTTATTGTTACTGTGATAGTGGGAAATGATCAGGATATTTCCGTAATCACACAAGACAATCACAGTGTTCTCGTGATCGTGGACTATCTATATTATTAATACGCTACATGACACTTTTTGAACAATAAAGATTATTTTTAGATTTAACCCCACATATTATACCAAAATGTTTGTCTAGGTGTGTAGATTTGCACACTGACATGACATTTTTGAAAAATTCCCTTGGGCTCTGTCCCAGTGGCTTATAAAGTTTCCATATTTTAAAGACTTCAGGCTTTTATCTCTTTTGCCACAGGATGTCAGAGTTGGAAGCACAATTGGAGAGACTTGGAGTTACGACAATTGGACAACTAAGCTCTCTCCCTGAAGAAACCGTGCAAAGGTTGCCATTCATTCCTCCCAAGCTGGATAGGCTACGCAAAATATTGCAGGTATGTTGTATCTTTGACTTTGGGAAATTGAAGTAGATTTCCTGTTGTAGCCAAAAATAAATACCATTATTTATGGCCACATTTTAAAAATTTTAAGTATATTCAAGCTAACTTTTTTTTAAAATGGGTCTCTTCTACCTTAGCATACATACCAGGTTTCATGAAGATCGGTTGAAACAATCTAAAAATATAAATGTTTATGTAAAAAATACAAAATGTCGGATATCTAGTTAAGGAAGCGATTTTGGAAAATGTTTTATTCTTAACTATCTCTTTATTTTGACCCAAGAAATCACTACGTAAATTATGTTACCACCTTTTCTGAACACCCTATATACAGTATATAGGTATAACAATTTGAATTAATTAGTGTTTTTAGCCTCTGGAGACATCTAAATGTAAAGTAAATCGGTCCTAGGCCTACTTCTTACCATGCCACCTACGGTTATAGCTACTTCTCTGGAAATTCGCTAAAACAAAAAACAACACTTGGATTTACTATATATAAGGACCCACCTCATAATTGTTAAAAACCACCAAAATCGGACCTCAGGTGAGAAAGTGAAAACAATTTCCATAGTGGGTGCAAGTGGTGTAAGTTCATCTGTACAGTAGTCTACAAATTAATTAGTATGATATAGTCTACAAATTAATTAGTATGATTACATGTACAGTTAAGTATAATAATGTTTGTGTACTCACAATAATATAATATGAATAAGGTTGAACAGTATAAGCTAACTCATTTTACTTTAATTTTTACATTTTATCTTTTTAGAACTACTACAATGAAATCAATGAGAAGCCTGTGGAAAAAAGACACATAGGTTCCGAAGCAAACAGAATGGAGTGCCTTAGTTCAGGTATGTATTTATAACTATTTAATTTTTAGGTATCTTTTTTAAAGTATCAGAAGAAACCAGTAAAAAAGATGGAAATGGTAATTTTAAACTCCATGTTCTTATTTTACGACTGTTGTTATTGTCTTTAAGACTAAGTACTATGATTTTAAGCTGTTTTATGAGACATTTCATGTTTTTATCGACATTCTTCTGTTCTGAAACAACATGTAGTACAGTAGAGTCCCGCAAACTCGGCGTAATGTGGACTGGAAGGGTGCCTAGTTTGTGAAATGGGCCGGGTTATCGGGAACTAGGGGCAAAAATAAGAACAGTACAATTTTTAAGCTTTTTAACCACCTTTTAGCGAATTTCCCATATAGGGAATAAGCTATTACCGTAGTACTCATGGTAAGACCTGGACGCGGGACCGATTTTTTTTTTCGTTTTGAGGTCCCTAGAGGCCAAAAACACCATCCGTTTAAATTCATATATATATATATATATATTTATATATTTATATATATATATATGTGTCCGTCAGCACGATAACTCGAGCAAAAATGATCCGATTTGGATGAAATTTGGTACAAACGTGTAAACGTACGTTTATTCGAACGAGTTCGCGATCCAGCATGATCGGACCATGGGAACGGGGGTTTACGGGGGGTTTTATGGGGTAAAAATAGGTTTTTCCTATTTTTGACCCAAAAAACATAAAATTTAGCAATTTCTTTCCAAACCATTTTGTAGAGCTTAAAAAAACAAATAATTTAGTATATTGAAGCGTTATTATGCGCCTAATAGTTACGGAGAAAACTCTAAAAAATTGTAAATTTAAAATTCCCATGTTATTCTTATGGAGAATAAGTAAACTGTTGTAGTTTGCTTGTTTGTGAACATATTTTGATCAAATTTGGAAAATGTTTTTATTTCTCACTACCTATTCACATTTTACAAAAAAAAAAGTTTTACCCTCCCTGATGCAGCAAACCTAAGTACTTGTTAAACTAATTCTATTTAAATCAAGAATAAATGTTATATTTTTAAGTAGACATTTCAGTGTAAATCCAATCAGTCAAATGGAAATTCGCTTAGTCTGCAGGTTTGCTGCGGCGGGGGTATTTTATTCATATTTATATTACAAGTCAGTAGGTATTTAGTCATCAGATATAGTACAACAAATCCTTGGTACGAGTTGCGAATGATTTGACTTGAGCTGGCTTGAGTTCATGTTTAACTTACTACACTTTTTACCGTTTTGTTCTTTATGTGATTTATTGCTGTACAGTGATGTAATTTTTTTGCTTGAGTAAGCGTGATTTTAAACGTTACAGTTTTTATTACTAAACCAAGGTTATTTCTTAACATATCACGATTGCACAATACAGTAATATTTTAGTTTGATGATGTAAAATGCAAATCAATCATCACTTTAAAACATGCATTTTATACAGTATTATGCGTTTTTATGGGTATGTAATATAAAATGTTTATTTCATGTTGGAATAACCGTGGTTTTCAGTTATCCGTGGTCTCTATCTCGCTTATTACCCCAAATAATTGAGGTTCTACTACATTCGGTTAGTCCGGCCAGTAGTACGGTCTTGAGGTGGCCGAACTAGAGGGAGTCTACTGTAAATAAATTTATCAAATGATACAGACATATTTGTGCATCCATTTGCATTTGTAAACTGTCACAATTGATTCTATAAGGATATTCATGGGATAAAATATACTGTGTTATACTCTGTATGATGGAACCTGTCTCCTGACCCTCCTTATACCTGGGTTCTGGCCAATGGTTTAAGGTCCGGGCCAGTCCCAGGTAGACAAAGGTTAAGGAGACATGATCCATCATACAGAATATAGCACTTAACAGGGTGTCCACTGACCGGGAAAACTGGGAATATGCGTGGATTTTGTATTCGTACCAAAAATTTTCAAATCTGATATTCACCATATTTTCTAATAATAAGAGAGGGACGGGTCTTCATGCTAGAAATGGACGGTCAGTAGCTAATAGTAGCCTAGTAGAATAGTTAGGTAACATAATAAATTCTTTGTTTTTTTTAACCACCTCATAAAGACTGGAATAAAAATTGGGAATTTTCATATTTTAAGGGGGAAAATAATCAAAAAACCTTAAGTTTGAAAAATGAAAATTCTATTTAACATCCCTTCTTATTATCGGATCTTGCTGGTTTGAAAACTCATTAAAGTTAATATAATCACATTCATGCAGAATTTCATCAAAATCAGACCACAATTAGTTACTACAGTTATAGTGTACACTTACCCCTATTTATATTCAGAATGTGAAAAATAGAATGAATACTATCTTGGATACTACTATAATGAATACTATTTTTTTTTCTCTGGGGCTATAAAAGCAAGAAAGTGAATCGGACCCAGGTTTTGGTGTTACTGTGCCATTTAAAGTAATAGCTTATTTTTTATAGGGGATATTCGCTAAAAATACTAATGGTTTTCTTATTGCAGGTAAAAAGAGCTCCAAAGTCGAGGTATCATCACCTAAAAAGAACGTAGAAGATATACAATCTCAAAGCGAAGAAAACACTGAGCTAGGATCACCAGAAGATGTTGTTTCAAGTGCAGAAAAGATTAAGCAAATGATTGAGCAGCATCCAGCCTTATCACCTAAAAAGACTGCGGAAAAACCCCAACCTGAAAATAAAGAATGTGATCGGCTGGAATCTCAAGAGGATGTTGCTTCAATTGCTGAACACATCAGAGAACAACTACACCAACATCCTGAACTCGTTCATGAGCTCGGAAACTTGTTGGAAATTGATGTCGTAATGAAACTGTTAGATGTTGCAGTTGCTAAAATGAAAAAACAAATCGATAAAAGTTAACAATGTTTATCAAACAAACATTTACCACTGCCAGGGTTTTTACATTGTTGATGTATATAGAATTGTATAGGCTTTAATTACAATAATGTAAATATATTTTATGGTACGGTAATTGTATAACTTATTTTTTTGTATTTTTACACAACTTTGGTTTTTTTTCTACATATTTTTTTTCCTTCTCGGTTAAATATTTTACTTGACTTTAACCTATTTTATGGTTTTCTATAATCTAAACTACATTCTAAATATTACAAATTTTAAGTGTTTCCATTTAATTTTACCTATTTGAACTCTTGAATTTTATTGTCATGTTGGATATTTCCTCTTAGTTGTAGACTTAGACTTTATTGAAAATCAAGGTTGGATTAATAAAGTTGTCAAGAATTTCATACCGTTTTATCTGTTGTTATCCCCATATTTTATTTAATATTTGTATAAGAAAGTCATAGATTATCATAAACTATTTGCTGTTTGAGGATAATCTAATTGTAATTTATGGAGGGAAAGGAATCGGAGAGAATTTTAACTCTTACAAAGGTTGTTAAACCTTGATCATGTCTAAAAAAGGTTTAGGGACAGTTTTATAGAAATAAATTTGTAGAGCTATGATTTCAAAATTAATAAAACTGAAAATAAGTGTTGATGTAACCAACCTGAAAATTGATATTTTAGGCTTATCCTATTTTCCTATTTTGCTTTGGGTAATCTTTAGAGGTGTGCTGGATAATAAGATCCTTATTTGGTTAAACTAGTTTTAAAATAACATGAAACCACCTGTCAAAAAAAAAAAAATTAAATATGATGTTGGTATAAACTTTGTATTGCTCACCACTCTGTCATGAGAGAAGTGGAGTGTTATACAGAGTGTCACCGAACACACTATCGAGTACTGTGCCTTAACGGTAAAATCCTTGGACCAAAGAAAACTAAAATATCACTTAAAAATAACTCAAAAATTACCTGTTCATTTTGATTTTTCAAAAAAATATTTTTATTAGTGAATTTCAAATGTTGGGAATAAGCTATTACTGTATGTTTCATGGTAAGACCTGGACCCGGGAATGATTAACTTTTTGTTTTGATGTCCCCAGTGTTTGGTTTTGACCTAAGACATGTGACCAGAGAGTTTTGAAACACCCTTTATATGAATTTGAACATATGGTGTTTTTGGCCTCTGGCCCAGAGGCCAAAAACACCAATGTTCAAATTTATATAAAGGGTGTTTCAAAACTCTCTCCCGAAACTCTGTGGTCACATGTCTTAGGTCAAAACCAAACAAAAAATATCATATAAACATATGCCCTATTACGCTTTGTTTTTCGTCTGTCGGTGTGTATTTATTTTTTACATAACTTCCCATAACTTTGGAACAACTTGAGGCACACACTTCAAACTTGGTATGATGACTGATCGGAACTATTCTTTTGCAAAGCATCATGTTTCTACTTTGTATAATTAATTTCAAAATGGTGGCCATTTTAATTTTTCAAAGCTTACTAACTCAAAAACTATAGGATTTATAAAATAGCTATAAGAGACAAAAAGGATTTAAATTTAATTCCCTTTACAGAAATGTACAATTTGTATAGAGTCATAACACAAATATAATATTAGTAAGATTTTGATCACACTTGGCAAATTTATTTATTTTATACTAAGCTATTAATATTTTACTAAAAAACACACTTGGTTACCTACCCTGTACCTGCAAACATAGGTACTCGTTAAACCTAATGTTATTGAATTAGATTTAATTGAAAATATAATCAGGCAAATGGAAATGGAAAAGTGTGCAGGTTTGCTGCGTCGGGGATATTTGTTAACGGCTTGTTATGAATTGATATTTTGTAAATACTGTAACTTAGTGCTGCAAATAATTATAATATGACAAAAAGTTTTAGCCTGTTTTGTTAAATTTCTAGTTATGAGGGCATCTAAAGTAAAACTTAAGTTGGTAATTAACATCTACTGTTGTAATATTTTGATTAGACGGTTTCATTAAAAATACTAACATACCAAATTGTAAAAATAATCATTTTATTTACTGTACGTGCGAGGGAGAAATCCTATTTTAAGGTACTGTCATTGGTCAAAGGTACTACAGTACAACCATATTTGAGCTCATTGGGTATCAATTAAAAACGCAGATACAAGGGCGGTCCTAGACCTGTATTCCTGGGGGGGGGGGGGGGCTGGGGGGTTCCATACCCCCCCCCCCAGAAGAGGAGGGTGATCTGGGGTTCCCCCCCTGAAAAAATTGAAAATGAGTGCTTAAGAGACTTGTGGAATTGGTCAGTAACAGTTGCCACTAAACCGAGGAGTTTAAGTCCAGACTGCAGGTGGTCAGTATTTATCACCTCAGGTTGCGTTCCTGCTTATCATACTTTTCTTCTCCATTACAATTATTAACAAACTTAAATCTTGTTTAGTATTAACACTGTGCCTTTGACTAATAGGACAATTTAGATAATACAAATATATTCTTTAAGATGAATCATCACAATGTTACAAGTTTTTATGCTGGTTAACTAAATATTAGAAATGTTGCCACTTACCCATCACCACAGAAAGAAATAGAGACTGATACATTACCAAACTAAGGTATTTTTATGTAGAGTATTTACCTGATTTAATTTGGGAATCCTATGGAGAATGGTGAACTGGATGAGTTGTTCTCTGACAGTTTGCTCAGAAGCTGCAAGAAATTTGAAAGTTGATTCTTGTTGCTTGTCTAGAAGAAAAAAAAACATGTTTAAGTGAGGATTATGTTTTATCAATTAGTATAAGAGTTGTTATTGTAGGGACTATAGGGATATTTTCCTATTGATACCATTCTTATTGACAAATTCAATTTTACTTGTCTTTACAATAAATGAGTAATCATTTCTTGAAAGAACATTGCATTTGGTTTCACCCATTCACTATTGATGGCTGTATTTTTAATTACACTACTGTGAGATGTAGAAAGACATTTCATAAATTTTTACTGATTATCTGTAAGTTTTTACTTTTTAACATTTTTAAGAATAAGAATAAGAATAAGAATATTTTATTTTCTCCAAAAAATACAGTAAAAAAATATTTACAATTAGTCATTGACAGTGTTTTACATAAACAACAACATTTTTTTATTATCATTTTTATTTCTCCCTAGAAATATAACAACATTATTTCTTAAACACCAGCACTACCAAAATAACCATGGAAAGCTACCTGTTGTAGGGTCGTGTCCAAAGTTTTCTATCCACTCTTCTGACTCAATTCAGAGTGATAAGGCCTTTATAAATCTGCAGCCATGTCGACATTAATACTTTGTTAAAGCGGAGTGTGAACTGTGTTGAGTTGCCTCGTCTGACACCTAGAACATTTCTGGTCCACACACGAGGAGTGAACAAACTACTATTCTGAGGTGTAATGGGTCTTGAAGTATGTTGACCAGGCTCGTAAGCCCAGGGTAACTCCTTCACCCAACTATGTGTAGTTTGTCTCGGTGACAGATGTCACAGGGAGGTTGCAAGGTGATCTGAAGACTACGGGTCAAGACAAGCGAGTCGCAAAATAACATGTGAAGAAAATCTGAGAATATTCATTGAGTAACAAGGTCTGAAGTTTTTAGGGATATGAGATGATTGCATTGAAAACATTTAGGATTTGTCAAATTAAGTAACAGCATGGGACAGGCTGACACGTCACAAGTCTCCAATGAGTCCTGTAAAAGACTCTGAGAGGAAACCGGCAAAATGTCCTTTGGACCACCCTGGTGTAGTTTGTGTGTGTGTGTTGAGAGTCTTTTGAAGATTATTGAACAGTTGCTAAAAGGTAGATAACATGGCTATAAGTTGTAGGTTTACTCTCCTCTCAAACAATCTGAAACACAAGATAAAAATAAACATGAGAATATTGTTTTCAATAAGATAACACTAGGTACTTATTTTATTTCAAAGTATTAGGCTGTGTCAATAAAAGTACCTAACGAGTATGATTAAGTAGTTACGAATATTTTAAAGTATTTTCCTTATAAATAAGGGATTTCGTAACAAAATTTCTGCCACTTGCATAAGCTAATGTTGTGAAAAGGATACAGTTTCAATTAAACCATGCGTTAAATTGATAAATGTGTTTTAATAGGTTGATTGGTAATATATGACGTACCAGAACGGAAACATGTGTGAGAAATATTGTTATTTACATGATCACTCTGGTTACTGCTCCTTCATAGGATTTTGTGCTATTGAACAATCAAAAGCAGTAATATTATATACTTTATTCTTTTGTTTTATCTTCAATAAAATATAAGATTTAAAAATATTTTTTGTTGAATAGAGATCCTAGATTCCAATTTTACAACATGCTCCATCAGATATCCCTGTGTAATTTTAATACATCTTGATGTGTGTAATCTTGTATTATCAATAATTGATATGGGGATGCCACCTTATGTACATATTTTAACCCAATGTAGTTTAAAGTTAGTGTTCCTTTGTTTGCAGTTATTTAAATTCTGACTACCAGTATTTTGTAAGGTTAAACCTCATAACCAACATTTACTGGCAATATTTTGTTTATTTCTGGATTATTTTTCAAAGTTTGTCTCTTTTAATTTTGTTATTGCTTGTGAAAAAAGTATTTGAGCATATACAAAACATGAGGACCATCCTAATCAATATACAAATAACATTTACACTTCAACCACTTCAAGTAAATGATTCTTAAAATTGTTATTTTATGTTAGGCACATTAGCTTTAAAACAACGAAGTAATAATATTTGGTACCTTCTAATATTTTTTGCATCATAAAATTGGCCTATAAATAATTAAACAGACTTACCTTGGTCTTATTGCTGTTTTTATTTCATCAGAGACACTGAGCTACTTAAAAAATACTTAGCACGTATTAAAAACTTGTAACATTGTGTTAATTTCATTCAAAATCATTTTTATTTAGGATATATATAAATCATTATTAAAGAAGTTTAAAATTTGGTTTTGTATTAGCAAAACATTTCTCATCGGATCTCAGTTAAATCATTGATTATTGGATACTGGAGGTTAAATCTATAACTGTCCATTCAAAATCGAATCTGCCAATTAATTAGTATAGGCTAAAGTCTAAAGTACTGATTTTATGTAAAGTGATATGGAAGTGTACCCTATGTAAATTAACAACAAATAAACATATGGTTTTCCAAAATAGTAAATACAATTATTTAGCTATTGATAACTTTAGTGTATAAACAATTTCAAACTCAAATGTTTGATTCAATATAATAATAGTCAACTTCAGATTTACTTATGTATAGTAGTTTTCAAAACTTATTGATTAAATGCAAACTACATTCCTTCATGTAATTTTGAAACGTGTTCATGTTTGCAAGTTTAGTGAATTTTA